AAGATTTTTTAAACGCCGCTATTAATAATAACGTTTATATTATATCCATTTATTTAAAATTTAAATTATAAATATTTTTTATTAAAAAGTATTATAAAATATAAAAACTTATTTATTTTAACCGCTTTTCGTTATTTTTTTATAATTAGTATATTTAGTTTTTTAATATCTCAAAGGCTAATATTTATTTTTTTTTATAAACCGTTTATAATTAATTATTAAATCGGGACGCTTTTATTTTTTAATAAATAAATATAATATATTAATAATATTATAAATATCGTTTATTTTTTATTAATAAATTCTCTCTTTTTAAAAAATAATTTATAATTTTTAAATATTTTAATATTAAATTATATATTTAAAATATATTAATTATATAAATAGTTTTTTAAATCTTTAATAAGCTAATCTAGTTCTTTTTAAAAGCTTATAAATTTTTATTATTTTAATTATTTATTTAAATCGGCTTCCTTTTTAATAATAAAATCGTTAATATTAAATAATATCTTATAATCGATTTTTAATTAAATATATTATTAAGCAATATTACGAAGTTCGTTCGAATTATAAAGCGATTATTAATTTATTAATTATTCGTAATTTAATATATTAATATTATTTAAAAAAAGGTCGTAATTTAGTCCTTTAGTATTAAATTTTATAAATATATTATTAATAATTTCTTCGCTTAAGTTATTTAACTTAGTATTTTTTTTAAATATAAAAAAGTTTTATTTTAAACGGAATATATTATTTTTTATTATTATTTTAAATTATTTATATAATCGTTATTATAAAATAATAAAGACTATTTTTATAATTAAATATTAAAAAATATAAATATTTATTATATAATAGGCTTTATTTAGTTTTTTAATATATTAATAATAACGTTTTTTTAATATTTAAAATCCGTATATTAAATATATAATATTTATTTTTTTATCGATTTTATATTTTAATTAAAAAAAGTCTTTTTTTATTTTAATTTTTAATCGTTTTTAAAATCGTTATTAAAATAGGGCGAGTATTATTTTTATATTTAGTCGTTTTTTTTTTAATAATCGGCTAGTTTTATAATAGTTAATTAAAATATAAATATATTTTTATTATAATCCTTTATTAATAAAAAACGTTATTTATAATATTAAATTATTTTATTAAATATTTATTATATTATATAAATAAATTTATTTAAAATTCGTATTTTACGAGTTAAGATTTCGTTTTTTAATTAAAATAGGTCGTTTTTATTTTTAATTATTATCCTTTTTTTTAATTTACTTTTTATTATTATAAAGGTTTTCGCTTATTTAAAAAAGTTAATAAATTATACTTTAACTATTTCGTATATTATTAATAATATTTAAATATATTTTTTATTATAATTTTTAATAGTCTTAAAGTATTAAACTACTTTTTACTTATTTATTATAATAAAAGTTCTATTAAAAGGTTTTTTAAAGTATTATTTTAATTATTTTTTACCATTTTAATAAATTAAATAGTTATTATTATAATATATAGTTTATAAAAGCGATTTATAAAGTACTTTTTTAAAAATAATATTAATTTATTTTTTAAAAATAAGTCGTTATTAAATTCGTTTAAGCTATTTATAATCTTTAGCTATATATCTTAATTTATCGTAATTATAATATTTAAATTTTCTTTTTTAATAAAATTAATTTTATTTCGCTATATTAAGGTTTATAAATCCGCTATATTATTTATAAATAATAGTTTATTAAAGATTATTATTCTCGTTATAATAATATCTTTAATTAAAATTATATTAAAATTATTATTAATATTTATTTTTTAAATTAATTTTTTTTCGCCGGTTTTTTTTTTTTTTTTTTTTTTTAAATTTTTTTTATTTTATTTTTTTTATTTAAATTTATTTTAATTTTTTTTTTTTTTTTTTTTTTTTATTTTTTTTTTTTTTTTTTTTTTTTTTTTTTTTTTTTTTTTATAAAAACGATTATCGATTTTAATTACGAATTTAATATATTAAAAAAATTATTTAATCTATTAAATTTAATAAGTTCGTCTTTAACTTCGTTTTTTAATTTTTAATAAAATTTAAAAATTTTAATATTATTAATATAATTAAATTAAATATTAAAACGTTTAAACTCGGCTAAATAGTCCTTTACCAATTTAATTTATCAAAATTATAATATATTACGCTCAGTTTATCGTTTTTTATTTAAATTTTAAAAAAATAATTTAAATATTTTTTTAAATTTTTTAAAATTATAATAAATATTTCGTATTTTAAATAAATATTTATTAAAAGTTTCCTTATTAAAATATTTTTTTTAAAAAGGCTTGAACTATTTAAAAACTCGTTTTTTAAAAAAGCTAACGACGTATACGACTTTCTTAATTTCGTTATTAAAATCTTTTTAATAAAAATTTTAAAAATTTTTAATTTAAATTAAAAATCCTTTTAAAATTCTAAAAATTTTATTAAAAATAATAAATATATTAAATTTAAATTTTTATCATCCTTTATTAAAAAAAGTAATAATAATATTAATAGTATTTTAAAACGTATTTATTTAATTAATAAGGTTTAAAACTCTTTAGTATTTATTTTCAAATCTTTTAAATATAATATTAAATATTTTTTATATTTTAATAATATTATAGTCGTTTTTAATTTAGGCTTTTATTAATCGAGCGGTATTAATATTAAAAAGTTTATTTAGTTTTTTATTATATTTAACGTTTTTTTTAACGGCTTTACGTATCTAAGCGTATATTATTTAATTAAAAACTACGTTTTTATTAAAATTAAATTTAATATTAAATATTTTTAAATCTTTTTTAATTTAAAAAAGTTCGGTATTTAAAACTTAAAACTATTTACTTTTATTAAAAAAAAATTAAATAAATATCGTTCGTATTATTTAATAAGTTTTTTATAAAGTCAATTTATTAAATAAAAATAATTAAAATATTATAGCTAATTAGTTATAATAAAGTTTATATTAATAAAAATCGGGGCTATAATATTTATAAATAATAATCGTTATAAAAATAACTTTAATAAAGTTATTATTTATAAATTATAAAATAAATAAAACTTTAATAATTAATCGTAATTTTATTAAATAAGTTTTTAATAAAAATAATTAAAAGCGATTGTTAAATTTAATATAAAAATTAACTATTAAAAAAATTATAAAAATCTATCCTTAAGCTTAACTTAAGCTATTTTATATATAAATCCTAATTATAAATAAATTTTTTATAATATTTTATTTATTATTATTTAATTATTTATTAAACGATCGTTTATTTTATATTTTTATAATCGCCTATTTTATTTATTTATAAACGTCCGTTTTTTATTTTATTATATAATTATAATTATATAATTTATTTATAGTTTTTTTATTTTAAGGGAGGTTGTTTAAGTTTTTATTATTATATATATAGTGTAATAACCGCCGTAGGTTTTATAGGGTAAGGCCTTAGTTTAGTAATGCGTATTAAGTCGTAATATAAAGTCGGTAGCCTTTTTTACGATAGTTTAATATTATTAAAATTTTATTTAATTATATTACTTTTTTTTAATCGTTAAAAGTTTAATAACCGTAGTCTTAGTATTATTTAAGCCTTTATTATTTTTTTTTAATTAAACCGGGCTTTTTAATAAGTTTAGTTTTATAAAAGCTAACGTAATAAAATATATATTAAACGGTAATAATAAAGACGTTAATACTTTTATTTTTTAATAAATCTTTAGTAATATTAGCGTAATTTTTTTTATAACCGTAGTGGTTATAATAAATCTTATTAATAATAAATATAATAATTGTTTTAATAGTTTTTTTTAGCCGGCCGGCTCGGGGGGTATTTTTATAATATTTAAAAAGGATTTTAAAAGTAAAAGCGGTAAGATCGAAGCTTTTATTTTTAATATATAAAATAATATTATTAATAATTTAAATAGATAAAAAGAGAGTTTTTAAATTTTTTTTAATAAATTTTCTGTTATTAATAAGGTTATAAAAAGCTAAAATTATTGCTTTAATAGCTAAGAGTACGTTTTTTTTAAACGTTATAATAAAGAGGAAAAAAAGGCTTTTATAATAACGGATATCTAACGATTTTAATATTTTAATAGAAATAGTAGTATAAAATAGAAGTTAATAATTAATCAGGCCTAGGCTAGGGGCTTTATAATTAAAAAGTAAAATATATTAATCTAGGCCGTAAATAGAAGGTAGCTAGCCTAATTAAGCAAGGCGCGTTTTAAAGTAGGGTAAAATTACTACTAGCGCTGACTAGCGTCGATTATCGCCTCTGTACTCTTCAGCCAAAACTTTTGAACGGCACCTCCGTACCTGAGTGGCTGTGCCTCAACCTTATCGTCACCGCATCGCGCCACCCCATGAAGCATTCTTTCACGCCATCAGCTTCGGAAGCTGAGAGGGCGACATTTGTTTAGATATTTGCGGCGAGGCTTCATTGTAGGCAACAGTATTCTGTCTTGGAGCGGGGTGATACCGGTATTCAATTCACCTGCGATGCAACACAGAGCCACAGGTACAAGACACCAACATGTACTAATGGTGCGCGGCCGCCAAATCTAACGGGCTCATCTGGGCAAGTAAGAAGAGCTGCCTTAATTAGATCGCCCTAGACATGCAATGATTACGGTGGCGCGAGTTGTCATTGGTTTGGTACCACATAAGCAGTCACCCTGGGGACATGGCTTGTCGAGCTCTAGACGGGAATGGCACCAGTCCTGGCACACCACAACGCCACTATTGGACCAATCCGACTCTGGTTGAAGGCTTTTGGGCTGAATCTCGCTGCCTACCCGAACTTGACATCCTTGACCCCGGAGTCACTATTAGCATCCTATTCCTACCCTACATTACCTTATTCCAATAAATCAGACTCCATGCCTCCATTACCCAGTCTGCCGCTGGGTCATCTACTATGCCTCTCGATGCTGGCCACCGACGTTGCCCGTCATGCCTGGCCCCGTCGCGTCGACCCGCGACCTGTTTGTAGCCCAGCCGAAGAGCATCCATCGAAAGCCTGTGGGCTCGGCGCAGTACGAAGCTGTTGGGGTTCAGGATGACGATGAGCGAGATGAGGGGTACCAGGGCCAAGATGGCCGTATACGATGCCGCCAAAACCCGACCTCGGACGAGCGCAGAGCGTTGATGGGCGAGCCTTTCAATTTCACAGATATCCGCGGACACGACGACGACTCTTTCTTGTCCCTAGAGAACGACCATGTTTCTGCAAACTCTCAGAAGAAAGGCAGCCCTCGCGTGTCCGAGTTTTGCTATAGCAACAGTCCAACTCCTTCGCAATGGTCAGAAGAGTCGCGGCCTCGCATGTGGAACCCAGTGTGGTTGAGGAAGACGGTGCTCGTCATCTTTGCAGTGTGTTTTCTCGCCATGCTTTTGACGACGGCTCTACTCTACCACTTCTCCGTCCAAAATCGTGGGTTGAGCGCTCAGCAGGAAGTCAACCACTATGGCTGGAAGTACGGGCCCACAGCCGGTCAGTATCAGATCCACTGACAATCAAACTGCACCAAAAGCTAACATTATAATCAAGTCCTCGTAGTCGTTGCTGCCTTGTGGCGACAAGTAGACCACGCCAACAAGATCTTGATGCCGTGGAAAGAACTACGAAGCGGCCTGTCTGCTATACACAAGACGCTTCTCCTGGACTATGTCTCGCCACTTGTGACAAACAGCTTATGGAAAGCAATCAAAAACCGCCATTGGGCTGTCGTTAGTAGCATTGTTGGCTGGGCTTTGATTCTTCTGACGGTAAGAGACCAACTATGGAAAGCGGAGAAGGTAGCCAGGAGCATGCTGACGCTAATAGACCGTGTTCTCTACGGGTTTACTCATCCTCGAGACGACAGAAGTCACAAAAGACAATGTCGAGATTGTAATGACGACGAGCTTCGACGCCGACGGGTTCGATCTGACCACTGTAGGACCGGGCCCAGCCCAGGTATACTACGCCATCAACTTCCAAAACTTGCCCTATCCATCCGGGACATCGGAAGACATGGTCATCCCCCAGCTCAATGCCCTGGGAAATGGTCGTCCTGACGCCAATTTCACTGCCACAACGCCGGGTGCCAAGATTGGGTTCAGCTGCGAGACTCTTCCCATACAGAATGCGACCCAAACCTCGCTGCCATGGTTCAGCATCAATGGCGGCTTCTGGGTGGTTAACGTCACCACCCCCGAGTGCAACATCACCCGCGCCATCGTTGCCGCCGGCCCAGACCACAATATCTACGCGCAGCGAAACGCCACCCAAAATTACCAAGCATGGTATCAGGACTATACCTGCAATAATGATGTGGATTGGAGCGCGCCGCTGAACCCTCCTTTGACGAAATATACCACCGAGCAACTGACCAATACCAGCCTTCCGCACCGGATGCTGTTCACAGTGGCGGATCTGCGATTTTCTCCCATGGACACGAGGCTCAACGGGCCCGCATTCATCTACATGGAGAAAATGGTGGCGGTCATGTGTCAGTACAATTACACTATGAGCAATTATGAGGTCAAATCGACCACCCTTGCCGGTGCCAAATCGGAGGCTGTCCTGCAGAGTGCCAACCGAGAGACGAACGCGACTGATAGTATCGCCGGCTTTCCGAATGGCTATCTTGGTATCTCAGTTGGTACTGCTGCGGAAACGACCAAGATTGGCGACGGAGGGGTAGACTATGTCTTGTCGACATCCGTTCCAACATTCTTTCTGATGATGAAGATGAAGCGGGGTTTGTCCACTATAGGATCTTTCATGGATCCAGAACTCCTGATTTCCGCCGCATCTGAAGTGTTCAAGGGTGTAGGCGCTCAGGTGCTGTCTCAGACGTCCCTGAAGCCTACCAATACGACAACACAGGGATCCATCACGTACCTGGAGAACCGCCTGCATGTCAAAGGCCTGTCGACAGCTTTGATGTGTTCCTTTTTGGGCATTCTCACACTCATCAGCATTGGCATGATCTTCCTTCGGCCTCAGAATGTTGCACCGAGAGAACCGGGATCGATCGCAGCAAGTGTAACAATACTGGCGGCTAGTCCAGATCTGACCGAGCTATTCACTGGCCTGGGATCAGCACGCACAAGCTTGATTCGAGAAAGACTATCCGGGCTTCTGTTCAAGGCGTCGCTGCAACCTGGGCCTGAGATCACATATACAATTGAGCCTAGCTGCGGTCAACTGGAGCCTTCACGTGGCGGAATGCCAAGGGAAAACCAGTCGATCTGTTGGTGGCGCCCCTTGGCGGGGGCTCCATGGTTCCTAGCACTCAGTGTTTGTTTACCCTTGATGGCTGTGGCGTCGTTGGAAGTTATCCAGCGCCTGTCAGACGATCGAGATGGGTTCTTGGAGGTGGGCACGAAGACCTCCACCGTCTTGGCCACATACATACCTGCTGCCGTGGCCATTTCCTTGGCCGGCATGTACTCAAGTTTCGAGGCAATGGCTGCCATTTTTGCGCCATTTGCTGCGCTCAAGAAGCGAAACGCCATTGCCAGTCGCTCTGTGTTCTTGAATCTCACCGGCAAGATGGCACCTCACGCCATATGGGATTCTATGCGGTCACGCCATTTCGGCGTCACTGCCATTCTCGTGGCCAACATTATGGCTGGATTCTTGACCATTGTAGTCTCGGGCCTCTATAGCGTCTTGGCCGTGCAGCAGGTCGAAGGCGTTGCTCTGCAGCAAATGGACACGTTCCGACTCGACCAGACCAATCTGTGGGCCGAAGATAATCAGGCAACTGCAATTACATCACTGATCGAATACGTCAACCTCCCAGATCCCAAATGGACGTCAGGTGACCTGGTTCTCAATGAGATGAAGCCACTGGGTCTCCGCAATGAGACCATCGCGAACGGTCAGGTTCCACTGTCAGCTAAGATGACGGGGATCCGGGGCAACTTGAATTGCTCCGTGATACCTGCCAAGCAACGGGAAGTTAGGCCGCTGGTGTTTGATAGAGACACTCTGCAGGTTCGTCTAGGCGGAATGGGCAGCCCGGTGAACATCAATAACGAAACTGTCCTGCTTGCCATAAATACCACCCTGCCATGGATGTGTGGACGCAGGACGACGAACGTGACGTCTAAGACGTGGATGCAATACTTTCAAGTCCCAAGCTTGGGGCAACCGGTATACCTCGGAAAGGCCTCAATCATGATATGGAGTGCTTTGAACTCGAGTCTCGTCTACGGCGACGGAGCAATCAACACGAGCCCATCCGCCGGCAATGGTTTCCCGACGACGGACTTTAACCTCGGGGGAATGGGCTGTCCTACGGTGGCGGTGACAATTGGAACCGCGAGGGCCGTCCCCAAGAAGGAAAAGTACAGGAATACGACGAGGACCAGCTACGACGTCGAAAGCGACCTGGCAACAATCGTATGCCACCAGAACATTGAAGAGGTCGAAACCAACGTCACGTTCAACGCCCCGGACATGACGCTCAGCAAGACATTGCCGCCGGTGGTGGACGAGTCGACGAAGCAGCTTCTGCGGGCGCCAGAATCAGACACGACGTCCTTTAAGTTCTCCCTGAATGGCTTCTTCTTGGATCTTGCCAGCTCGGCCCGGAACGCGACGATTCAGGGACCAAACGGGACTGATATGCAGAACTACTCCAGCCTCATTGACCCATTTACGCGGGCACTCGTCCTGGGTAGGAACGGGCGGCCGATCGAGGAGCTAGCAGGGGAGAGAAATTCCCAAAATCTCGTGGAGGCTTCCAATGGGCTTTACAAGACGTACATTGCGCAAGCTATCGCGGCCAACATGCGCAATACCACGACCGGCACGGGATCGAGCCGTCTGCCCACGTCCCAAGGCCTCCTGGTGTCGCAGAATGCGCGACGGCTGCACCAAAATGCGGGGCCTAAGATTGCCCTGCAGGCGATGCTGGGCGTCATGGCGATGTGTATCGTCGTCTCCCGGCTGTTGATTGACGTGAACGGGGTGCTGCCGCATGACCCTTGCTCGATCGCGGGGACGGCGACGATGCTTGCTGGGAGCGAGATGGCGACGAGGAGGGTAGTGCCGGAGGGGGCGGAGTGGAGGGGTGACGGGGAGCTTGGTCGGGCTGGGGTGTTTGGCGGCGCGATGAGGTTTGGGATTGGGTGGTGGCGGGACGGAGGCAATATGAGGTTTGGGATTGATGTTGAGGAAGAGAAGGCGTAATTGATGTGGATGTATGGGGTTTGGGAGGTGGATTTGTCTGCGAATATAAATACCTTCCTAACACGGGTACAAATAGGCACACTACGAAGTAATGAAAGAAATGATGTACTACAATCAGCGTTCTTCCGTGGAGATACCAGCAGCCCATCTTCCCAGCCACGCTCCTCTTCACCGCGACATCCGGTACTATGATTCACGCCCTCAGAATAAATCCTCAGTACAAAGGCCCAGAGGATTTATCAAGATCGTGATCGGAGAGGATGAGAGCGCGCATGGTGGAAGAGAGTGGAGATTTTGGGGTGGATTTGAGTGAAGAGATGGTGTATGTACACCTTTAGGGGGCTCGCTTTGATTGGTGACGACGTAAAGATGTTTCTAATAACTCTCTTACTATGGATTTCCATCTCTGTTGTGGGTGGCATCTTAACATAAGGTATATAGGTTTTGAGCTCTGCGTCCGAACTGATTTAGATATCGCACTGCTTCCCTGCTGACGAAGGGGGCTTACCCCGATACGAAACAAGGTTAGCGCAGAATTCCCGGAATACGAACAGAGGTTAGACTCATTTTGAGGCCCCGCCTGCTTCATCCAATCATACCCACCACAGAAGCAAAGGACTATGGATCGGCCCCGGGGACGACGTCGATCGGGCCTCAATGATCGGAGGGGTTTCCGGAGCAGTGGGCCTCGTAAACTCCGGAAGGATCAAAAAAGGGGCCCGGGTTTTTTCTCCTGCGCTGACGCTTTTCCCCTCCCTGCGGCTCTTTTTCCTCCTTTCGTACTTGCCGGCAGCCTCGCATCACTCTCATCTCACCTCACGTCAACGGTTACGTGTTTGTTCACTCGTTGAGGGTTCTCTACCTTGAACTGTGTCAGACCGTCTAACACGCACAAACGCACGTATCGCGGAACGCCAAACCAGGGTGCCGGCCACGCTAGGTAACAAGCCCGGGTTCCAAGACGATCTGGTCATTGTTGTCCCAATCTTGGATCATCTCAGTAAAGGCTGAAGAAATGCCCGCTTCGGAAACACCTCCGAGTGACGACGCGCGCAAGCGCAGAGCTCATAAGAAGTCTAGAAAGGGATGTGGAAACTGCAAGTTGCGGCGGGTCAAAGTACGTATCACCTCCAAAGCGTCCATTCCATGAACTTGAGAATTCGCCATGCGCCGTACCGAATTCTTGACCATGTCCGCGAACCTGGCCCCATCATGCTTCATCCAGCCATCCCTCATTGGGACCCTCGGGTACAGCCCCAACACGGGTCCGTATCCGGGATGGCCGTCCAGCTCTCGCCTACATACGACGGAGATATGTAGTTCACGGCGTCTAACAGCCAACATAGTGCGACGAAACTAAACCCAAATGCGTGAAATGCGTCTCCTACGGTGTGACGTGCTCCTACGCTCCCACCTCCGCCGCGACGGCCCTGTCCGTGGAGGTGGCCTTCAAAGTCGACCTATCGTCTACTGTTACTACTACTACTACAATTACAACTACTACTCCCACACCTCCTCAACCCAAACAAAGGACTTGTTCCGCTCCTCCGCTCCAGAGAGCCGCCCCTCCTCCTCGAGCTCAGCCCCCTTTCCCGCCCCGTTACGTCCCTCCGCCGTTACCATGCACAGGTTCCATGGAGAGCCCGGACGCGGCGTACCAGTTGACCCCAACAGATGTCCGTCTCCTCGAACGGTTCCAGAAGAGGACGATCCTGAGCCTCGGGACCCCGCGCAGCAGATCAATCTACGAGAAGAAGACTCTGCCCATTGCATTCTGCGTAAGCCTCGTACCCCCAAACCCCCCCCTTTCCTCTGATCTACCACCTAATAAAACCATCAAGCACCCCGTCGTAATGCACACCGTTATAGCAATGACCCACCTCCACGATATGTCCTTGACCCCAAACCTGCCCCCTACCCCCGGCACCCAGACGGCCCTAGCCTACCACTGGTACCGCGGCGTCTCCCTCCTCCACCGCAAGCTCTCAGCCCCGATCCTCCCCGCCGAGCGCGACGCCCTCTGGCTGGCCTCAGCCTTTATCGGCGTCGCCGCCTTTGCCAACGTCGCCACCCTCGCCGCGCCCCGCGACGCCTGGCCCCTGCGTGACGCGTGCGCCTCGGACCTGGACTGGATGAAGCTGGGCGACGGGAAGAAGCAGGTCTGGAAGATGACGGATACGCCGTGCGCGCCGCGCGGGGTATTTTCCGACGTGGCGAACGAGTTGTACGCGCAGTTGATGCAGCCCGATGTGCTCCCCATCGGCGGTGACGATGGGGGCGAGGACGGAGGGACGACGACGGGCACGTGGAGCCCCCTGCCAGAGGGCTTCGCGGATCTCTTTGGCCTCCGCGAGGACCCCACGCACGCGAACCCGTACTTCTCCGCCGCCGTGTCCCTGGTCGCGTGCTGGCGGATCCCCGCGTCGGCGGACCCGGACTCACGGGAGCTGGTGAAGCCATTCATGGGGTTCATCAGCAAGCTGGACCCGCGCTTCCGGAGGCTGCTCGAGGAGAAGGACGAGCGGGCGATGCTGCTGCTGGCGTACTGGTTCGCGCGGGTGTGTGACCGGAAGCACTGGTGGATGTGCAAGCGGGCCGTGCTGGAGACGTGGGCGATTTGTGAGTACCTAGAGACACGGTGGAAGGGGCGGTGGGAGGTGAGGCTGGTTGAGTTCCCGCGGATGATGGCGGATCAGTGCGGGTTGTGATGGTGTTTGGTACCATAAGATATCCCACAGCATTGATTCGAGTGGACTGAGAATGATCACTTGGCTAGCGAATAAGATGCGCAGATACTGCACGTTGAGAGCAGGTGAGATCAACAAGTGCAAATGATATTTAAATGAATGTACGAGACACGCAGAGAAGCGCGTCTCCTGACAAATGTACATCTTGGTATCGCTCAAAATCCAATGCTTCCTCGCCGCAATAATGAACTCAAACCGCTCAACGCCCAATTACACAATTGCCAAATGCATTTCATTTACGCTCCAACCTTGACCTCCTGACCGTTAGCAGGCTTCTCGCCATTCTCCTCGTCGTTACCGTTCGCCGCGCTGCCCTCGTCCGTTGCAGAGTCGCCGTGCGGGTACAGCGGCTTGCTGGCATCGTAGCCAATTGACTTGACTATCCCTAGACCTTTGGTCCTGCCCTCTCGGAACAGAAGCCGGTCCCCAGGGGCGAGATATTCGGGTCGCTGGACGAACCGGAATGCCACCGTTGCCCTGTCACCAGTTCGAATGTACGGGCGGTCCACGTCGATGATTGCGCACGTCTGCGAGACTGGGCCGACGTGCAGCATGGCCTGGTACTTCGTCTTGATGGTGGTTGCGTGAGAGAGAATCAAAACTAGAGAGTATTTCAGCGTGAGCGTCGCCTTGGAGCTTGTTAGGTATGACTCACCTTCTGCAATGAACTCTCTGTGAACCTTGGGCGCTGGCTGTCCTTCGAGCTTGGGCAGAACAACCATGCCTTTCCTGACATCCTTGCGCCGGACCTTCTTTAAGGCGAAAGACGCCGATTGCCCCGCAGAAGCAGCCGGCACCGCCAGCCGCTTGCGTTCGATGGATCGAATGCTGGTAGACGTAAACTGTCCCAAAGAATCCGGACCAATGAGCACGTTGTCACCGGCGTGGATGACGCCGGCTTTGATAATTCCCGAGACGACAGTGCCGACGAAAGGAACCGAGAACGTGTCATTGACGTGGAATTCGAAGGGTGCGTCCGAATCGTAGCGTCCGTGGTGCGGCAAGATGTTCAGGAACGTCCGAACCAAGTCGAGGTTCTCCCCCGTGACGTTGGAAACCTGGAAAACAGGGCATATTCTCTGGCTGATGAACTGAGTGGCTGTGTTTATGCACTCCTCACGGTCCTTGATGAAGATTGGAATCTTTCGCGCTCCTGGACTCTTTAAGATCTTGGTGATCTGGCTGATGGTCTGCTCGAGAATCTGGGGCGGGCAAATATCGATCTTGGTGATGACAACCATTACTGGTACGTTGAGGGCTAGGGCAATGCCCAAGTGCTCTTTACTCATGCCTATCAGGCCGTTGTTGGCCGCAACCATCAACAGGCAGTAATTTGGGCTGCTCGACAGCAGACCGAAGACGGTCGTTCGCAAGTACTTTTCATGGCCTGCCAAATCAGTAAAGGTAATGACCTTGGCGCTGCGCTTTCCAATCTCCTCCCACGACAGTTTCCCTAGTACGTCGTTAGTGAGTTCGTTCTGGTGGCATGGGCCAGGATGGTGCCTACGTCCGGGGGTGTCAGAGACGACAACATCTCCAACAGTGTCGAAACCCAGGATCTCCATGCCCACAGAGCTGGTTCTGCCAGTCTCAATCTCGTGCTTGTGACGGAACAGATTCACTCGCGCACGTCCTCTGCCGTCGTCGAGGTCTCCCTTTACCAGGACTCCCAGAAGAGAACTCTTTCCAGCATCGACTACGACAATTGCGTTAGTCTGCATCGATAACTGTATGCATACTGCGAGAGGACCAGCTCGCCCAGCAAGCTTGTCAATGGCAGAGGTAGGGGATACATACCATTGCCAACCACAGCTATTCGGGTCTCAATAACATCTTCCACTGTTGCTGGCGTCTGGCGAATCATGATCTTGCCACTGCAATGGCTGTCTTTGCCAGACTGAGCGCTCGGGGCCTCGACCTCGCCACCGACGTTCTTGGTGATGAGCGTATGGCAGTCGGATCGTATCCTCTTGGCAGCCTCCTTGAGTCTGTCATATGCCTTGTCCCACTGCTCTATTGACAGTCCCATCGACTCGCCATTGTTCTCGAAACCAAGCTCGAACACGGTCTCCCCATGGCCCTCTAATATCCTCTCCTGGATCACCGCCTCCAACTTCTGAAGCGTGGCATCATCATCAGTGCCCAGCAGGAGATCCTTCAACCGGACGCTAGGAGTAGGCTCGGCCAGGTCGAGGTTGTCAAAGAGTTCGTCGAGCTCGGCATGCTGATGTTCTGGGGGGTCGGTGGCCTTGATATCTTCGGCCGGCTTTGCGCTAGGGTACCGCAACGCTTGCTGCTTCTCGACGTACTCGGCAAAGTCGCTAAGAGCCTGTAGGAGAATGGTCAGCGATTGTCGGGGCGAGAGACATTCAAACTTGGTGGGATGTCCGTACAGCTTCGCCCTTACGCTTCTCGTGCGGTAATGACTTTATGTTCTTGCTTGTCATGGTGGGGTGATGGGAGCGGTTATATTCGTATCCTTAGAATCATTGATGCGTGTCAGAAACAATACAAATGACTTGTGGAATATGGTTGATGGAATTGATTGCCCAGGTACAGTGTAGCGTGGTAGGTAAGGTAGGCTATATAGAGAGGGGCGAAATTTTAGTTCTGATAAAATTGGCGTCGCGAGAGGACCGAGAAAGGAGTCATCGATTGACTCGGAGCGGCGAAGTCTTAAAGCAGTGACAGTCGAGGCCACAATCTCTCTCCACACCACACCCGGGTGACAGAATGCCCCGCTGCTTTACTGATCGTTTATTCTGGGGCCATCTGTCCGAACCCTGCCGAGGCTCCTTGACATCTCTGCCTAGGTATGAGATTATGAAGTGTAATAATGTTATCTGCAAGATATGCTCCCATGAGCTACTAGGGAAAAATAATTCCAGGATATAACCAGTGCTGTCCTCATTGGCTTCGAAACGAGCCTCGCTACTTGACCTCGCCACGCATTCTGCATCACACGTCAAATTGGTGCAATTACAGGAACACAATGGCTAGAATCCCGACGACGACGGTCTAAAGCAGCGTTGACATCATGAGTAACTCGGCGGGGCTTATCGATAAGAGCTCTTGCACGGGCCAGCACCGACATTGGCACGACTGGATCGCAGAATGTGGAGCCCCGGATTGTGCCTTGATTGAGGTTCCCACGGGTTGAATGATCTACAGTTGGTTCAGCCTTGATTACCCGCGTGGCTTGATAGGATACTCAGCAAAAAGCTTGCAGCCAACCAAAGTGCACTTGTGTGTGACTTAGGCATTCTATCGCTTGTTTGTGGGTTGATCTGCGGCTGTGTTTGCTGCGCCCCTTGCCTGACCTGATTGACGGCGGCCAACCACGAGGGAAAAAGAGTCATGAAATCACGCGAAACTGCGCATTCAGAACTTGCAATGGCACAAAAGAATGCTCTGGGAACCCTGATGAGGTCGAATGGGCTATCGTGTGCTCCATTGCTAGAAATTCTATTTGAACAGCAAACAACAAGGATGAGTGTCTGGTTATCCTCGGCGAGTTTCCCCGGGTTGTTCCTTAACCATGACTTTGAAGCGGTCGAGCGCCCCTGACTGCACCATCCTACCAAATTACAATATATTGTAGTGGCACAGGTTCTGCAACAGACCCGGGGATTCCAAAGTGGTCTCAGGATAAGGGTATATGGGAGGAGACCGCACTGAAATTCGTGATGAAGAGGAACAACTGTCTCCCCCCAATGTCACAGCGAGGGACATCAACGCGCTTTATCGGCGGAGTGGTGAACGTCATCGTCGGCTCGGGAGTACTTGGTGTTGGCTCCAAATCAAAGCCGCTTGATGGCGCTTGATGTCGATGGTCGATAGGTGATCCCGTAATGGTTATGAGGATGTTTGAGGCGAGATGAGAACAACACTGTCACCTGCAAGCCTGTCAGTTGTCTGGCCTGCTCCTGAGATGGATCACAACTAACCTCGGACAAAAAGCATTTCCGACTTCCTGCTGATAGTCTGCGACACACTGTCAGCTTTTTGTGAGAGTTGAAGCTCGTCTGACTTTCTCACCTTCACTTCCTCATCTTCCTCATCCTCATCCACCACATAGATCGTCTCCTCAACCTCTCCCAGAACAAGATTGCAATGACTATCGTATGCCTATGTTCTGAGTTAGCATGCCTCATGCAGCTCCTAGGCACGCATCACGACTCACGTGAAGTCTGCCCTTGAGATCACGGTCGCCTCTAAGCTTGACGAATACTACTTCGTCAAGCAGAAGCTTGACGAGGTCAAGAGGCTCCTGGACATGCGTGGTGTCTTCGCCGGCGTCCGCCATGGTGATATGAAGAGTGAGAGTCGGGTTAATGAGAAGGGAGCAGGGGGGTTCTGTGAGCAGATAGATGGACACGGTTTCTCGATGAAGACACAACGATTCAACTGGGATGGCCGAGAGGCGGTGGTGGGGCCAGGCACAGGAGGAACTGTGCATTTTGCGCGCGCCAAAGCTCCGCTGCACGTCATTGGTCGCGACTTCCGGAGCCGGCAAAAGCAATAGTCCGGCTGCTCTCAGCCCACAATCCAAAGGAACCGTGCCACGGCACACCGGGAGGTGGGCCAGGAATGGGTCTTGCCCCAGGTCTGCGTGGAGCTTCCCGTCCCTTGTCCAGGATGGCACGGTTGGATGACAAGGGAGCAGGGCACTAAAACAGGCACTTGCAGCACTTATGTTATAACTGGGAGTGGGCGAGAAGGAGGAGGAGGCGGCGGCAAGCATCGGCGGCGGCGGCAGTGGGAGAGGAAAGTTGGGGAAGCCGTCGGGCAATAATACGCCTCGACCAGCTTAAATTGTGCTGGGGGGGGGGAGCTGTGCCTTCCAGTGTGTTGACTACCTTACCTACCTTACGTGGTCCCCCTTTCGCCGTGAGGGGACAAACAGCTTGTTATTTGTCTTCGCGCCCGACATCTCCCCTCACGCGAGCAATTCTTTGCCAGCCACGTCTTGGAAGGAACACTTCCTCTTGGCCATGCCACTGGCTTCGAGTTACATTCAATGACATGGTTCGATCCAGACCTCGTCCACCATGATACCAGCTGCTGAGGCCAATGGCTTTCGACATCTGCTCCGGCAGCAGTCGCCTCCTCGCGGCACCCCCTCGCAAATCTTGTCTGCTCGTCTACGAAGATTTACCCGGCACCGTTCCTCTTTTTCCATAGTAGCAGCTCCCACAAGAATATTGATCCCACGACACGGGCCGAGTCTCTCGGCGAGACTTCTGTCCCAGTTACATGAGCCCTATTTCGACACCTCGGCGCCTGCGATCAAGTCGCGCCCAGATTCTCCCTCTCCCAACGCGAATCTCTTCGACCTGCTCCGGGCGGTCCAGTCGCAGGATACAACCCAAATACTGAAGAGTGTCATAGCCCTAGCACGTCACCCACGGCCCCTTGAGGCGGCAGACGCATTGCACAAGCTATCACCAACTACGTTTTCGGAAATTGTGCGTTCCCTGGATCCCTCCCGTGTCGGCTGCCGTAGCGATGCGACTCACGGTCTGCGACTCGAGAACGGTCTCGGCCAGTACAGCTCCCTTGCCTCGGTGGTCGATCAATTCGGTGTGCCTAAAATCTACAAAAACACCTTTGAATCATTACGTATTCTATTCGGTCTGAGATCCTACCATGGCAACGAACCGTCACGACTCGACTATCTAGTTCTCCTTAGATGCGCCGGTGCTGCATCCAACGTCCAGGCCGCAACAGAAGTTTGGCATATGACCAAGGGGGAAGAAGACGGCCGCCACAGAAATGGGCAGGACTATACCGAATACTTCAAGACCCGGTTCCTCACAGACCCAGCCTACTCACACCATGATAAGAGTAGGCTGCGAATGCGACCCCGTAATTTAAATGGTCGTAGGAAGCACTTCAACGACACCCGGCTTTTGTGGCCCCTTGAGAGACTGAGACTCAGCGCTTTTGCCAACAGGAGGTTCAGCTACGGCCGTGCCAGTTGGCAACCGACTCATGACTTACATCGCCTCCTCAGTCTGCCCGCGCCTGTCGAACGAATGCGTTCTTTCATCCGCCGCAAGCACAAAGTAGTGGACGAAGAGTTCTACTGCGCGTACCTCTTAGCATGCGCACGCGCGGGTTCTGTCAGGGAGATGACTCAAATTCTCCGGAGAGTCTGGGATATCAGAATTACGGACAAGAAAGATCATCGAGCAGCAACAATCGTAAGTGGCAACAGGGCGGACAATGGCAAGCGATTACCCACGCCAACACAGCCTTTGATCAACGCCATCGTGCAGTCGTTTGGTTGCACTGGTCATGTCATTCTTGCCAAAAAACTGATTGAGTACATCTCTACAAGATGGAGCATCCCCATACCGCCAGACACCTGGTCCTCGCTCCTTGAATGGACCTACATTATATCTTCTAGACCGGTCACTCGAGAGTACAAGACTTTGAGAGACAACGGCAGGACCGTTCGCGCGAGCGACGTGTTGGCCGTGTGGGACGCCATGACGGCTGAACCCCACCTTGTCAAGCCCGGTTTTCACGACATTGACCTTTACACTAGGTCAATGATTGCTTCTGGGAGACTGGACGAAGCGTGGGATTCAATAAGGCTTAGTTGCGCCGAGCACGACTCTCTATGCGAGGAAGTCGGAACAGCTCTGTTCGAGAGCCTTTTCCCCTCGCCACCGCCAGCTTCAATTTGTCGTCACCAGCGACTAAAAGCTCAACAACACTTGTCCTGGTACTACATCCAACGCTCGTGCCAGCAATGGTTGCGAGAAGCCAGCGTACGCTTACGCCGCGAGCCCTCGCTGGGATCCCGGATAATTCCTCACTTTCTTCACGATTTTCGCCGTTTTCTCCCTGATCCAATCACGTACTCGACGTATGGAGGGACTGTAAGGATCGCGAACCAAGAAACCGCTGCCCCAAGAATCAGATGGGTGAGGCAGGTTATTCGCGCCGAGCCAACTGTGAGACTTGCTCCTGATCCAAGCCGGCCAAAGGTTTCTACACCGGAGGGCGCTGGGGAGGACGTGAAGCCCGTACCTATCGTCTCCGAGATGGGCGACCAGGTCTACGAGAGCATGGCAATTACCCTGAGACGATCGAGCCGACGATTGGTCCGCCAACGAAGGGAGGGCAGATTTGGAGAGCTAGAGCGTCGCCTACGATTCAAGCTCAACATAGCAGCCGACCAGGGGCTTGTTACCGGAGGAGAGGCGATTCGCGGGGCCGGGGCTATGAAATCGCCCCTGTCACGAAAGATCGGATTATTATACCAGAAAGAGGTTTTGAAGGCCTTGATGTGGTAGCATGTGACAGATCATGGCGAGATCGATCCGTGGCTGCTGGAAAACGAGGGGGAGGCTATGACTGTCGGGAGTTGCCGTAAACAATCAAATGAAATACCAACGTCTCGAAAAGAAAATGTGATTGGCTATCAGATCCTAATGTGAAGTTATGTGACAACTCTATCAATGAGTACTGTTCAAGAGTTGGAGATGTGCAGATGTACTCGGTTCTCATCCTACGGGATACGTGATATTCATTGTGTAACTGCAACGCTGATGATTTTGTAACCCGGCTGTGTATATGATATATGTCCAAAACACATGGAGCCCATGCAAAAACGCCTGCTCATGATGAAGGATGGGGGGTATGAGATGCTAGGATATGCCTTTCTTTTCAATCCATGCTCTTCCAACAACTCCTTTTTCCTCCTTCTCTTCTTCTCCTCTCGCAACCAAGTCTCATACATTGCGCAGCTCTCACGCCTTGGTCTCCTCGTCGCCCTCGACCTTTTCCAGCCGTAGGTCGTTGAGAACCATGTACCTGCTCAGCGAGATCCAGCCGTAGCGGAACCAGACCATCTGGCTCTTGTGCGCCGTGGTCATTGCGCTCCACGCCGTGGCCCAACCACCCTTGGCGCCCAGCTCGCTGAGGAACACCAGCGCCGTCGGGTGGTAATTGTCATCCTCTTCCTCGTCCTCCTCGTCGCTGTCTTCGTCGTCCTCCTTTTTCGGCTTCTTGGGTGGTTTCGGGGGGTTGCTGCCAGCCGTGGTCGCCCAGGAGAAGAGCGTGGGGAGGGCGTCGAGGAAGTTGCTGTACTTGCGCGCGAAGGAGACCGAGGTCAGGGTGTACAGGTCGACGGGGGAGGGCCAGCGCGGGTCGGTGGAGAGCGCGGCGATGAAGGCGCGGGCGCCGTGGTATAGGGAGATGTGGTTCGGGTGGGAGGAGACGCCGGTCGAGTCAAAGGTGATGAGGACGTCAATGTTGGCGTCGGGTTCTTCGCCGGCAGCGCGCTGGCGGGCGAGCTGCGGGGCGAAGGCGCGGCCGAGGAGGGTCGCGATCTTGGTCTTGTCCCAGACGTTGGTCATTGAGTCTTGAAAGTCGCTGTTGGTCCCGGGAGGCGGTCAGATTAGCTCGTCCGGGGTCTGGAAGTGTGGAGTGAGGGGCAGTGGGTAGGGAGAGGGAATTGCTCACGGGCTGTCAATGACAAAAACGTCCTGCTCCTGCCGCAGACCGAGCTTCATGCCGCTCTTGATCAATTCCTTCTTGCGAGTCTCGCCTAAGCCGTCGGCGTTGCCTACACGGTTGCCGCTGTTGTCAGCCATGGCGTCCTCTTGGCCCTTTCGGCAGCACCTCGCGCAAGAGGTCTTCTAACCTGAGCTCAGACATAGAATCTTGACATGGTTGCCCGTATCCGGTTTGGTGAGGGCCAAAACAGTTGGCGCAAAGAACATGGCCTCATCGTCAGGGTGTGCGATCAAGAGACAGATGCGTTTGTTCTCCAAGGTTGGGAGGCGCGGCGTGATCAGCGGAACCAGGTACATGTACAACGCGGGTGCAACAGCCACCAGCAAGGCGCCGAGGAACATTATCCAGCCCATTGTCGATTCAGAGTGGCGCGTCTTCCAACACTAGGCAGTTCTGGTATTGCGATCTCGTTTCGTCGGTGAGGAGATTTCGAGTTCCCCGAGGTGGGGTCGTTTTTGAGGGTGGTATTTCGAGGATGCGGTGTGGCGTACGTCGACGGGCCACAGCCTTGCGCGAGGGATGACGGGCTCTGGAAGATCGCAAAAGGTCTGTGATGAGGAGGAAGAGGTCCTGTAGGAACTTGTGAGAGCCGCAGAGCAGCACTAGATGCAAGAGAGTGATCACGAGGAAGGCGGCATCGCGCGGATTGGAGAGCACAAGAGTGAGATGCCACCTTGCGATTTGGGGGACCCTGGTCTAATCTCTGAGGAGTTTCTTAGCGACAACGGGTGGTGGTAGTGGCTATCAATGGTGGTGTGGGTGGTCGCAAATAGCGGGAGACGATCGGCTGGGAAATTGGATGACCCTGGACCCGGACGATTCGGTGCCTCTTGTCGGTCGGAACTGGCGCGTTGCGCTGCGTCGTCGGTGTGTGTCGCACCCGTTGCCTTCCCGAAAATGCAGGCGGTGACAGACCGCGGAACGGGGTCCTGACGAGACTAAATATGCCCAGAGGGGCGAGCGACGGCTGGCGATTGGCCAGCTGAAGCGCATGTCATGCGACAGGGCATGGGTTCGTTTTGGTCACTGGACCGATGGCCTGCAGGGGCCAGGGAGCTCTATTTTTCAGGAGCCCAGGACAGCTTACCTTAGGTAGACCAGCTGGACCCTAGTGGGCTGAAGCTGTGAGCTGACGGCGGGACAACCAACTGTCAAACCGTAAACTGTGTCTTTGTCAGCCGGAGAGCACGCGACCAGACGACACATCCGACGATATCATACCTTGCAGCTGTCAGTGAGCTGCATCTCACGGACGGAATTATCACAGCGGTGATATCGCCGAAGCTCGAGTTGTGCTTCTTGAGCAGATTGGCGAAGGACGGCCAGGGCAAACCTCAACCACCAAGTCGCTGAGTGCTTACCAGCCAAACATGGCCAAGAAGGGCAAGGAAAAGAGGGTGAAGGACCCCAAGGGAATTCCCCTAGCTCAGCCTGATCGGTCGGCCCCCAGCGAAGCCACTTTGCTGCAGCTGGCTCAGGAGCGAGGGCTTTTCAAGCAGGCCGACAGAGACCCGCGGAATAAGCACTTGCCCAAGGGTGCCGTCCGAATCGAAAGGCCCGGTGGCGAGGAGAGTGACAGTGATGGGGAAGACGACGAAGAGGCCTTGTTATCTCCCTTGGTGGACCGTATCATGGACACGCTGCTGTGGACTGTGAGTCTCGCCATGCTGCACGGCACATTCGATGTGCTCGTCCAGAACCAGTACGCCAAGGAGATCGAATGGCCCAATGTTTTCAGCCGCACGCTCATTGCGTTATTGGGTGAGTATCGAGTCAGTCCTTCTAGTATATTGTTCCTTTGCTGATGGCGATGGCGACTGGTAGTGCTCTTTTTCCTCTTCTATAACCTTCATGCTTTCCCTTCCAGCCCAACTCTTGTCCCGGGATTGCCGGCTCGTTATCAGCATCCCATCCGACAGGCCATCTTCTTCGTGGCTGGCGCGTGGGCTGGATGCCACCTGATTTACATTACCAACAAGTTCAGCTATCTGTACATCATGAAGCAAGCGCCGACGTTGGGATGTGTGTGGATTTGGTCGGTCCTGGAGCTTGACCTCCCCGTGGCCGTGGCCAATCTCGGGGTAGCGGGTGCTTATTTGCTGCAAGGAGGATACACCATTAAATAGGTGATTCGCGAGTCATTATTTGGACCTCGACCGCTTGGTGGACACCGAGCTTGCCCGCCGGTGGTGCCCTCGCTTCGTCAGCTCGCTCGGAAATTGTTGCGAAGGACTGGATAACCGGCGCGACTTGACGGCGTCGGTCAACGGTGAATCAGGGCCGTGACTGAGCCGACTTCGGTGCATTAGGCGATAGACGAGATCCTCCAGCCGATGGATCTGGGCTCTCTGCTCAGCAATCTGGTTCTCCATACGAATAAAGCTCTCTTCGGACTTGGCCTCCATCCACGTGGTCCTTGATTCCAAATCTCGAATTCGGCTGCGACGAACAATCAGTACTTAGTAACGGCGACCAGACGCAGGGCAGTGACGGGAGCCTTACGAAGAAATCATGCTCATTTGCGTGAATTGCACTCGTGCCGTCAATGCTTCCCTCTGGCGAACCAACTCTAGCGTTTTGGTTCGGACCGGCAGCCAAGCCATGGCGACATTGGTCGTGAAGCTCCAACTCTTGGGAACGAGAGTCCATTTACCCTGATTTTCGGCATCCTGGCCCGCAGCCTTCGTCTCGGCCTCAGCCAGCAGTTCCAGGATACGCTTTTCCAGCTTGATCAAGTCATCCATCACGAAGGCGTACATCTGGTATTCAGGTTGGTGAGGATGAGGACCTCCTGATCTTTCACCGGCTGTCCGAATCAGGTCCGAGAGCCATGTTGATTCCGTCTTAAACCAGGACAGCGAGGCCTTGACGCGAAAATACTCGTCGTCGCTGTTGCGCAGGTATGTAATTCGGACGTACACCGCTGCAACAATCGCGACGACAAACGTGAGGATTCCGGCGACATTGGCCGCAATCGACAGAGGACTGTCCTGCTGTGACGACTGGTCCATGGGAACGGTTTAGGGGACGGCGATTGCGGCTACGTGAGGCAACACCAGGTTTGCAGGAGAGTCATGACAACCTAAAAGGCTCTCGGTCAACGGTCGACTTATTCTCACGGGCCTGAGCTGACAGCTGACGGCACTGAGTCGAAGCGGAGCTGGGAAGCAAGGGAGGTTTGGAAGGAGCTTTGGAGCTCAGAGAAGCCCCCAGGAGGAAGGTACCTGTGGACCCCTGGCGCACCCGCCGCTAAGATTTTAGCGCCGTTCTCGGCTTCCCGTAGTGGGGCCGATTTTCACGTCGTTCCGGGCACACGTGATATCGAATTATCGACGACAGACTCACGATGTCGCAACTTGATTCTTTAGATTCTCTGGAATGATGAGCAGTTCGTATTATATTTGGAAATCTAAGGCCTTACTGTGCTCTTAATCGGTGATGGTCCCTGAATTTCATGAAGCCAGCCACTCTTAAGCCGGACGACAGCGGGGTGGTGCTGAGGAACCGGAATATCTCATACAATGGCATCAGTGACATCAAATAATAAGGGGGGGAAACATCAGACATCTCATTCATATGAATCATCGGGTATGATAATTCATGCTCTCGACAGTTGGTTCTCGTTATGAAGCCAGTTTTTCTGGCCGTCTCACTGAGCTCTGCGAGAATACCGACCTGAAGGCTGAACAACACCTGGTGCAAGTAATGGACGAGAAGCGTACTTCCATTCTCTGAGCACCCTCTCGCCCAAGCCTCCGTGAATCATTTAACCGGCTTGCCTATATACTGTGAATCAGTAGTCATCTGATTTCCCTCGCTTAAAGTGCGTGGAACCGGCAGTGCTTCTAGGTAGGGTCCCTACCTCGTTTTGCTTTGCTCACCGGGCCAACGGCCCCCCCAGATATCAGGAAATCCATTACCACGGAAAGAGCCAGGCGCTTTCGTAGGATATTATTCTTGCTCCTTCCTCCGACTTGCGTGTTTGCATAGTAGCGCGAGAGCCACCGATTATCTTCTCACCGCTCTCGGTTGACCTCTTGTGGACGAAGGACACGCGCTCGATTCCTCACCCTCCCACCCACCTATCTACCGGAAATCTTTTTTCCCACCCTTCAAACTTTTCTCTCCCCCCTCCACCCTACTTTTCGAGTCTTCAACCTTCGCAATCTTCTTGCTACCACTTTATCTCGATCCATCTCTCTCTCACAAACACTACATTCTCAAACTCATCTCCATCTTCCAAACCCATCACCGCTCGCCAAACTCATCAACGAAGTATTTTCTCCTCCCCCCTTGAAAAAGTTCCAATTTCTAATTATTTTCAGCATCAATCACCATGTCGTCCCCCTACACGATCCCCTACAAGGCTGGCAGTGCCGCTGTCTTTGTCCCGGGTGCTGCCTCTCACCCTGCTTCACCCAAGGAGCACGCAGCGGTGAATATGCAGGGAGGCCGGCAGCCGGCGGTTGCTGGCAAGCCCGACGCTGCTGACACTAGTTGTAGCAAGGGTGAGCCGGTGACCGTTGCTGGCGGTCCCAAGGACGCCATTCCGGCCAAGTTTGCGTCCGCTGTTGCGGCTGCTGCTGGCGGTGGCATTGCCATCGTCACCCCGGGTGGCCTCCAGGGCGTTGGTGGCTCAGCTCCTGCTGGTGCCACCAGTGGCAGTGGCCAGAGTGACCAGGGCAAGAAGAGTGAGGCCATTGGCCTCAACATCGTGAGTTTTACCTTTGTTTTATTTTATTTTTGGGCCTTTGGACAGCAGGAAGGAGCATGACATGTACTAAAATGGCTCTTCCCTTGAGTCTGCTAGATCATGGGAAAGACGGCTCCTATTCTACTTACCTATGGGGCACTCATCATGATTCTCTATGTTCACATCCAAGCCCTTTGATTTCTAATTTCTTTCTTCCACAGGATGTCAATCGCACTCCGTTCGGCTCTGACGGCTGTGATGAGGACTACAAGGATGGCATGCCTCTTTCGCCCACTACGACGACCAAGAGTGCACAGCGCCATGCCACCCGTGCCTTGCCTGTTTTCGAGAAGCAGCTCCAGGCTTCCCGAGCCGAGATTAAGCGACTTCGAAGTGCTCTCAGCGATGCCACTCTCGTCCTTGAGGACCAGGAGATCGAGAAGCTTCGAGCTGCCATTATCGGCTATCAGAAGTCGTGCAAGCAGCTTGAGACTCAGTGCGAGAACTTGTATCAGCAGACCCACGACCTCCAGTCCCAGGCTCAGCGCCTTCACCAGGAGCGAGATGGCGTTCAGTTCAAGAACCGGCGTCTTCAAGATGAGATCCATTCTCTTCGTCGCAAGAACACAGACGCCATGACCGGTATTCAGATTCTCACTGACATGACCGTCGCCATGTACAACATGATCCTTGACAACTGTCCCGAGATCTTGAGCTCTCTTCCAGAGCGTGTCCAGAAGACGGTTGAGTTTGTTCATGAGGAGTGGAAGGATGAGCAGTACCAGCAGTGCTTCTTCCCCAATCAGCTTGCCCCGGCCGTTCCACCTTACAACCTGGTGCCTTACCATACCCCAGTTCCTATTCATGGCAGCATTGATTTCATTCCTTTCCAGAGCGCCAACGATGCTCAGAACGCCAACAGTTCTCAGCACGGCACCGCCGCTCAGAATGGCATCGCCACTCAGAATGACATCTCTACCCACGATGGCACCTCTACCCACGATGGCAACACCGATACTTCTGCCTTCATGCCTTTTGGACATGATCAGCAGTTCATGCAGGAGCAGCGTCCCCGCTGTATTCCCAACCATTCCCCTTCCAACGAGAACGCTAACATCTACCTTCCTGGTCACCCTGGCGTCTTCAGACTGGTGTTGTACAGCCCTGGTGAACAGACTTATGAGGCTCGCAATCCCAATGTCGAGAGTCCTCAGACTCCTTCCAACGGTGGCCCTTCCAACTATGGCCCCTTCAATGCTGGCCCCTACAACGCTGGTCCTGCCAACGGTGGCCCTTCCAATGCTGGCCCTTCCGATGCTGGCCCTTCCAACGATGGCACTGCCGACGCTGGTACTCCCAACACCGCTCACGACCCCCAGACTCCCCCTTCTCGTCAGCACTAGGAGTGAATATTCTTGCAACAAAGACGGCTTCAGTGTGGACTTTGAGCCAAGTATTTTCGACCCCTTCCGATTGAGTAAGCCCTCGATACCAATCGTTTTGATAGCGTGGTCTTTTGACTAACCTCAGTGTCTAGGCAAATAACCACGGTTCCTATGTGTGTAACGATTATGGCCACTTGTGCCTCTGCATCCTTTGCGATACAGTACTTATGCTGAGAGTTAAGAGCTCTGACTATTCATTGAACTTCACAGCAGTTCAATTTTGGGCGTCTTTGTGTCCCCGCTTGGTTTCAGAACGCCTGAAAGTTTGCTAGACTTTGAAAGGATATCCTAGACTTCTCTTGAGTCTTGATCCTGGCTGGTTTACGTCAACCTTGGGTCTTTTGGCAATCACTGCTCTCTGGTCCTACCTTGGCAGCAATGATCAAGCAGGTATAACAACGCTTCTTTTCTTTTGTAAGGTTTTCAAATTCATTCTTCATCGGTTACAATATTTCTTCTTTCACTGTTGAGACCTGCACTTAATACACGTGGCTAGCATGTGGGAAGATGTGCATTGGTCTCTCAGTAGGGAGGCATGGAAGCTTTTACCTTCGCCTTTAATCGACAGCCTAGTCTGTCACCATTTGGCATGGTTTGGTTTGATTTGGTTTGGTTTCGGATGGCAGCAGGACAAGTGGTTATGGATCAGATTGGAACTCGGAACTCAGAACTCAGAATGATATCACCTGGAATAGGGTATGGGAACAGCGGTTACTGGATGGACATGCAAGCTAGAAGGATAGCAAGCAGGGTTAGCATACAGGAATCAGATACCCATCTCTCATACGTGAAGTCGTAGAGCTCAAGTGAATGTGTGACATGTTGTTGATGGCATCAGGCGGTACATCGAGTCTTATCGTGGCAGTGAATCCGTCGAAGATGTTGTCTCTTATAAAAGCCAATGCCTCCAACCTATCGGAGTAGCTTGCCCAAACCAATCATCGAAATCATCACGAAGAATCTACAAGAACCATCTCACTTGACGATATTTCACATGGAAGGTAACCAAAGGACCACGGAGCGCGAGGGTTGCCCCTCGTGGGGCCGGCTCAGAACAGTCAGAAGGGCACGCAATTCAAAACACGATGTGCCCTGCGGCGAGGAATGCCTGGTATACCCTCAAGGCAAAACCAACCACACTCCGAGCGGGCTCATGGGCCAGGTCGCGTGATACCTGGAGCTAGACCTCGAAAGCCGACCTTCAAAGGACGATGTATGGATGGAGAGAAAAGGGAAGAAGAGGCGCCACGGCGGTAGGCACAGGGGCTGTCCGCGACCGAATCTGTTTCAACCGGGAGAGTCTGTTGAGGAGGAGACTATGGAAGGGGAGCTGGTCGAGCCTTTGCTCCAGGCCGAAGACGGCGGTGGTGGTGCGGAGGGCAGGGTGTTTCCTGCTGTTCCCATGTGTGTGGGGGAGAGGCCTGCGGATCTGGTGGCTGCGGCGTGGAGAGGTCGCGAGCGTCCGGCTCCTGGGCCTGCCATTGAGGAGGCGGCTCTGACGGCTGTGGCATCTCAAGAGTGCCCTGGACGGATGATGAGGATTCCCGATGCGGCCGAGGCCCGTCAAGGTGAAGGATGTGAGTTGGATCGTGGCTGGAGAGGGATTAACGGTCGTGTCGAAGCGAATGGACAGTGGGACAATAGATACATCTTATAGGTAGCAAGGCTTGATGGGATCGCATGGACGATTTGGGCGTGGATATAAACGCGTCTTCTGAGCCATTCACATTTTAAAATTTGTCCGTAACTGTATGCAGGATATGAGATGCGGCAGAAAAAACCAGGGCAGGGCTCATGGTGAGCAATATGCCTAGCACCTTGTAGGGAGAACCAAGAAGATACGGAGGTAGGCTTGTGAAGTTCAGCAGACTGGCCATGTACCAAACATTGGATAAACCTAGCTACTAAAAGCACGACGACAAGGGCCCAGCCTTCGGATTATGTTGGTTGGCGTCTAGGTAATATCCTGGCCGGGGCATTGGTCGAGCTGGGTGTCCGGAGCAGAGAAGCGCACAATCGTGGGAGCGAAATCATCAAGACAGGTCCTGTACCATCGCGGCGCAGCTGTAACCACGGCCACAAAGTTACGCCATTCTATTCGGCAAACATTTTCTTCGCCCAAACGCCCTGTTTCTAGAGCGAATATTAACCGTGAGTTGCCTTCGTTGATGTCATGTAGTTTTCGGCACCATAGCACTGGGAACGGGACAAGTCACTGCTGGTTGCTCATTCCGCCTGCATCTTTGACATATTTGCCGCCCTCACCTCGATATTCCCCAGTGACTCAGAAAAGAATTTTTTTTTCAAAAAAAGACGGAAGCGTGATACGAGAAAGAGGTCACGTTTAATTCGTCTTTCAGGCAACAGCTGCAAATTCCGCCGTCGAGTCAGCCCGTAAGGCGGCCATCGTCAGCCGCAAAACCGGACCGCTCCGGGAAAGAACACCAAAACCTCCACTATACAAAAGCTCCGTTCCGCATCCGCACAACGTCGCCCAACTAACCTTACCTTCCTCACCTCATCTTACTTGTCAGAGAACAGACCTTCACTAACCTCTTGCCCCTTTCCCACCGAGACACCACTGCAAACGAAGCCCCAAATACGAGGAACACCATGACATCCAACCCAGAAATCCCTCAAAACCTCCCACAATCTCAATCTCAACCTCATCCACGCCCACCACCGCCGCCCACCTTCAACCTAACCTACCCCCCGTCCCTGGAACCCTACAACGTCCCCGCGGTAACCTGGCTGACGACAAACTCCAAGTCCTGGGACGGCCTCGCGACCGGCGCCCTCGTCTTCTCCGCAACGACAAACAAGATCCTCCTCCTCCAGCGCGCCGCCCACGACAGCATGCCGCTGCGCTGGGAGACGCCCGGCGGCGCGGCGGACCCGGATGACGCGAGCCTGTTTGTCGCCTGCGCGCGCGAGCTGTGGGAGGAGGCTGGGCTCGAGGCTGCTGAGATTGTCAGGGTTGTCAGTGAGGGCGAGGGGAGGGAGCCTGGGAGCGTGTTTACGAATCGGACGGGGACGAGGGTGTTTTGTCGGTTTGCGTTTGAGGTGAGGGTCAAGGGAGGCAGCCGTGACGAGGCGAGGGAGTTGGAGGAACGGGTGAGGATCGATCCTGAGGAGCATTGTGCTTTTGTGTGGGCTTCTGAGGAGGAGGTTCGGAGCGAGAGGATCGGGGAGAGGGAGATTCCGATTACGAATGGGCAGATGGCGAGGTTGATTCTTGATGGGTTTCGGAGGAGGAAAGAGGAGGGGGTCTAGAGGGGAGATTGGAGTTGTTGATGAGTGGTGGTAGCTGTCTACGATGAGTGAGATCGCTGATCATTTCGATTTCATCAACGACGAAGGATTATAGAGACAGACGGGGTCGCCTAAGAGAAGGCTTTGGGAAAGGGATACGACCGGCTCACCACTTACATGGAAATATCAGTTTGGCACAGAGGTAAAGGTTGAGATACCTGGGTTGGTGAGACACAGAAGGTCAGCATAGCTTGATCCCAGTTAGAGGTAGTAACTCAGTGACCATACAGCCTCAAGGACATTCATCCACGTCAGCTTCGCATCTGCCTCTTCGTGTTGGACCGGCCGCTCCCTTGTATCGCAGCTTTCCATTGGAATACATACATCCAACACCGGTGGGCACTCCAGCAGCCACTACACACCCATCAGATCAATGACAAGATTTGACACATCTAGAGATCATTCTCAGTCCTCACAACACCATGGCTCTCAGTTCAGAGTCCAGCTCAGTAGCCCGTTCCCGCCGGAGCCCGAGACCTTTCACAAGCGACATGGCACCGACAGACATAGTTACCACGAGAAGCAACAGCCTGGTGCTACGGAACGCGACGAATGTCAGCGGCTGGTCCCGAAAAGACGACTGGAACAGGAGTATCCCAAAGGGGAAAGACAAATCCTCAAAGTGAGCGGCGTGCTGGAGGTTTCCCTCATCGGCGTTGAGCCATTCCATAACGGCCATTACATAACGCAGAGTAGAAATAACTTCCCCATGGCTGCAAGACCGGGCATCTGCGCACTTCAGCCTGGCAAGGAACGAGGCTTACTGGGTTACTGATATATTCGGATGGGTTGCAATTATTCTATATGGCAAACCAGGAGGCAGCGTGTTGACTCGATATCTTGGTATCCCGAGTCGGTTGACATGAGAAATTTAGATGGAGGGAAAGGCAGAAGGTTCTGCAGTCATCATAGTCCTCACTTTGGTAACGTAGACTCATAAGCGTCAGCCGACGCCTCGACGACACCCTCGCGGGCTGCAACGTGGCGGCTGAGCAATCGAGTCTTTAGCAATAGGGCCCAGCCCAAGCAGCGCAAACTGCACCAAGCATGGTGGGTAAGGGATTCAGCGAGTGTAAGAGTGGTCGCCTCCAAGCTGATGTCTACCTATGAACCGCATTCACTGGGAATCTTGTCAACTTGGTCCCAGAACTACCACGCGCCATCAACTTGTGAGTAATACATGGAAGCCCGCGATGCCCCCGAACCCGGGCATGATCATCGCTCCATGGTGTTTCTGTGAATGCTGATCTTCGGCAGAGCTGCCGAAGCCAGTGCGGAGCCGAGACAGTGTTTGCAGCGCGCATTGGGCCGAGGCAACACCACTGCGGCCCGACGCCGGTGTCGATTGAGGCGCAGAATTCGCAACATCGGTGATTCAGGCACCAAAGTGCGTGCATCTGCATGTTGAAGACAGACTCGACAAACTTGGCAGACGCCCTGCTCGATTCAGGGGTAGTTCGTCGGCCGGGTTCGCTCCAGGGTCCAAGCGAGCAGGGCGAAAGCTTTGGGGCCTTTGCCGATTTGAGTATCTTGTTTGGATGTGGAGCAATAACAATTTGACGGCAATCCTCATGAAGGGCGTTCCTTTGGAGGTGATGACTTGTCATCATCATGCTTAACGCGATAGGCGATAGCGGCTCTGTTGTTCTTCTCCATTCATAGTTATCCAGGAGACTCAGGACCGCACTCTGGTAGCTGCGTACCGCGTCAAACGGGCTTCCGACATGGCATGATGAGGCGACTTCATAGTACGACTACCGTCGGTTATGCCGGAGCTCCGGGGGCACGGGTCTAGACCTCTGCAGGCAGCCCACTAAGCGCCTTACACGGCCCGGAAAGCGCCCGTGGCGGATCTACATCGTCATTTTGAGGCTCTGGCGCGGTGCTGCAGACACCCGTGATGGCGTAGCTTACGTTGTCTCATTGTTTCGTGGCCAGCTCCATATCTCCAAAGGTACATAGGAATGGCGCTACTGCGATGATCGGTAATGCCCGACGCATACCATAATCAGGGCTGCCCAAACCGTTGTCCTCCCGCACTGCGTAATTAGCACAGTTAGTCAGGTTCCTAGCGTGAGGCCGCAATGATTAGACCAGATCCATTGTCGGGGCAATCTCTGGAGGATCGATTCTGTTGCTGACAGAGGCCGATTCCTTGGCGTAGATCTGACAGAAACGGGCAATGACTGCCACGAACGAGGCGAGCGCAGTGGAGGCTGCCAGGGGAGGTGGCCTCTGGCATTGCTGTTTTGGGGAAGCCGGCGAGGAAACAGAACAAAGTCTCGACTTGAGCGACGAGGGGTGGAGGGGTCGTCGGGCGGTGAGTCCCAACCAGAGGTACCAGTCGGGGGCATGCCGCAGAACCGGAGAGAAAAGATGGTCTGTGGAGTGGAAGTAGTCTGTACCAGCAATGTGGATGTTGTGGGATGGTTGGTGAGGCTGCTTATTGGCCTTGGCTGGAGTTAATTATTGGCATGCCGGGGGTTGGAAAGCCATGATCGGCGCCTGCATCCAAGACACCCCGCGGAGGAGGAGGAGGAGGAGGAAGTACGGAGTGGAACTTCTGAAGAACGACGTGAGTACTGCAAAACTTTGATGGCTCGTGATGCAAAGAAGATCAGGGACTCGGTGGATCTGACAGGCACAGTAGCGAGTATCCACGGTATTTGAGTATTGGTCTCGAGTTTGCCCAGCCCAATATCCGTATCTCGAGTCCCCTTGATGAGGCTTGGCAGGCGAGTGAGCTGTGGCGAGTAGCTTTGCAGAGGCATCCGTTCTACTAGTCCGCCTTGTGTTGGATGACAGGAGATGAGCCCATGGGATTCGTTGTTGTCGTCGTGAAGATTTGCGGTGAACTAGCTCGGGTGGTTTGTTAGCCCCAAGATTTGGATGCGACTCTGCGTGTGCCTTGATCAATAGCTAGTGATCCATGGCAATAGTGCCAACTGGATTTGTTTGTTGTAGTGGTGCCTCAAACTGTACTATGCTGTACCGTGCTGTACCGTTTACGCCTGCCAGTGGGCAACATGAACTAGGTACGACTCGTCCCTGACCGCCGCATATGGTCGTGGGTTGACATTCACAATGCGTCGTTGCCAATTAGGGAGAGGTGGGTTGTGGCGATTGTGACAGGGGCGTCAAAGTGCCCTGCATTGCGTACGAATACCTACGACCGGTGAGGTATGTTAGGTAAGGTATACCGCATCGGTTGAAAACCTGGAACTTGGAAGTGACGAATTGGTCGGAAATGTGTTGCCTTGTCTCTTGCCCTGCGTCTGCCTGCCCTTCCTCTTGAAACTTGAAGGCGTGGCTGTTTGCTTCCTGCCTCTTTCTTGCCGTACCTACTTCAGGTACGGAAACACTGCTCAATTGCTGCTCAATTGCGGCTGGCCGGCACTCTCGCGGGGCAGGAGTGGCAGAACCAAAGATGCCGCATAACTGCAGTGCATGTGCATGCCCTACCTTAGGTACCTTCCTCAGAGGTGCAGGAGGTGACGAATCCGCGACTCCCGCGGCCCCACTTCGAAGCTTCTGATGACCTCAGTGGCGTCGATCCTCGACCATGGCAGGCTTGGCAGCTGCCAGCTGGAGCAGTGGATGCCGACTTCCCCACACCTTCCAGGAGGAGTTGCCAGTCGACTTTCCAATCCCCATGTGCTTCTTTCCCGTTTCGCTCATGACCCCTCGCTCGTCAGTCAGCAGGTTTTTTTTTTTTTTTTTTTTTTTCTTTTTTTTTTTTCTCTTGCTTAAAATTTTTTTCTTCTTTCTTTTCTTTTTTTTTTTTTTTTTTTTGTTTTTTTTTTTTTTTTTTTTCTTATTTTTTTTTTTTCCCCGTCGTAATAATTTTTTCCTTCTCCTCGCGCGTGTGTGGATTCCAATTCATCCCGAAAGGTATCTGTCATCTTTCTTTTTCGCCGGCTTCGGAAGACGACCGGCCGACAATGTGGAACCACTGGCCCTGCCGGCCTTTCCGGCCCTGCCGACCTTTTACGTGTGTTTTTGAGTCTTCTTGAGGAAAACTCTACCTCTTCGCGTGGAAATACGAGAAGACGAACTCGAACCAAGCGATGACTTCGAGTCTATCCCGAGAAGCCTCGCTCGGATCTGCGTCTGGATTCTGCTTCGGTTCACCCGCAACCCTCAGACCCCTTGCCCGAAATCTGCTCAACGCTCTCCATGAATGCGGTGACGCACTTGCGTCGGCTTGTCCTTGATTTCCTCCCCGGCTTGTCCAGCACAACGTGGACGCCCAGCTAAGCTCAGCCCAGGGGGGGAACACAGCCCACACTTTGATCTATTCGACTGCTGCTAGCCCGTTCTCGAACTCGCCCTCTCCTTTCACACGGTTACACATGTACTTACAAGACAAAAAGACACCACATGCTATTCTCCTTGCGGTCCTCCCAGCCCACTTCCAACCAACTGCATGCCGCATAACCACGCTACTGTTTCTTGTCGACCTCCAAATCTCGCGCTAGAGCCTTGTTTCGTCGACCAAGCTGCCGCAGGCCTGCTCGCACTCACTCACCCACCTCTCCAGATTCCAGCTGCCAGCAAGACTCTGTGCCTTGATCCGATGGCCTCGCCAGACCGACCCGGACACGAGACCTACCTCCCACGCGCATCTTTGGTTGACTCGCAATCTGTTGCAGTCATGCGTCTGCCAGGTCATAGCTAACCCTCCCTTGCGCACACCTGCCAGGGAAACTACCTACGTGCGAAATACTTGTCTTGGGCGTCCCAGGATGCTGTGGCTCTCCTTTGAGACTCTGGCCCTTGACTGGCTGCCATTTCAGACACCCGCAACCAGCTCAAAGGTGCCGTCATCATCTCCATCTCCAATTTAGGGTGGTCTACCAGGCACCGGCCCGCCCTGGCGCGCTGACAAGCTTACTGTCCCTATCTCCGCCTCCCCCACACTGCCGGGTGCGAATCTGCCGCTGGCTCTCGACCCGGAAATGAGCAAGTGCCTCTTGGCGTTTTCGTTCAACGGCTGCCGCCGTACTACGTAGCTACTGCAGGGGCTTGCTGAGTGAGCCAGCAACACTCTAGAGTCAAGAGTACCTGCGGATATTGCAAGACCATACCCGTACGGATACAGACTACACCATAGCAATCCCGAGCTCAGCACATTCAGCAAGTGATTCCAACATCGACGCTCCATCATCGGGCCTCAATTGAAGGGCCCTACCGGTACGGATCGCAGAGTATCGCACTCACGCCGGCTAGGATATCCTCGATACCCTTTCTCCAGTAGCCATTGTCAGCCCTGCCATTCTCACCGCTCGCAAGTCGCTGGCAAAGTCCGTGGCATATTTCCGTCCTAGGGTTCTCCATGTGAGTAAACCGAAAGACCCTCCTTCCGCAAAAAGCACCTTTCTCTTCCAATTAGGCATGCTTTACAATAACCTTTTTCCAAGGAACAGAGCTAGTCACAACCTTGAACTACACTTTCTGTGCTGCGTGGTCCCCTGCTGGCCCCCCAGCCACTAGTCTTAATGCAACAAGCTCCAGGTCAGCCCAGCCAGGTCAGATCTTGCGGTTTGGAGCACCAAAAGTTGAGATGGCAGAAATTGCGTCTCAATGCAAGAAAATAGGAGATGGAAAAGGCCATGATGCAAACGGGCGTGCGAGTGAAACATGACCGTTTGGCGCCACACGGTTGGGAGCTGGTACACAGGAAGACTATGAAGTTCCAGAGTCACGATTAATTACCCTACTTCGCCTTTCGAACATGCTTCAATGTGCTGCGGTGCCCTTCGCCGCATCTCGCCCCTTTTCACACCACCCACACTCCGAACTGTCAAGTGTAAGACCTTCAGGCCTCAACCCCATTACTCTCGCAAGATGACTCGGACATGGCGATTTCCAAGAGCGTGTGGCGCATGACTCTCCAAACGACCAATAAGAGTGGCGTGGGGATCTCGCAGGGCAGCCAGAGCATGCATGGTTTGCAGGGGGTTGGTTCTGGACTTCTTGGAAGTCTCGGCGCCGCGGCGGCCATCCACAGAAAGTTCAGGGACATTTGATACTCATGCCAGGCTTGGTCCTCACGTCCTCCAGCCATCCCATCACGTCGCATGTTTTGGCTTCGCCATATCCGTACTTACCCACGAACCCACTACCTCATGTCGCTGGGGGCTTTGGCATGGAATCACGAATTGTCTAGACAGGGAGAGAGATTCTTCCGTCAGTTGTCGTCGACTGCTCACCAGCTCGTCCAAGTTCTATGTTAGCGACACGGCCTAGGCGATGATGCTCAGTAACAACATTTGATCATTTGTCACTTGGCGGACGAAAAGCCCGGCAAGTATGCCGAAGCTCGGCAGACGGGGGGATCTGCCCATCGCCTAACTAATCTGGTGCCAGATCACGTTGATCCGTCGGAAGAGGAGAACAGAGTTGAGACTACAACGGCACTAGGACGCAATAGACGTGCTGACACGGCACATCAATATGGCCCCGGCATGATGCCGTACGCCTGTGTCCGAGGTTGCCACGTCGGAGTGACTTCCGACACGGATACATTTCAACTCATTTTCTAGAAGGATATGAACAATAACGGCCAGGGGAAGAGGGTCCCTTGATATCAACACTCGGATGTGCTCGCCAATGGATGATAGCAGGCGCATCATTGCCCGATTTTGTATGCGGCTAAACCACTTGGATCGCAGCTCATCGCATCGACTTGCTTAGGTATTGGTTGCCAACAAGTCGCGATAGAGAGCAGGCTGCAAGCATGGGTTTTGCGATATCCAAGGTCCTAGAGAGCGATCACACGAATTCGAGATTCTGTGTACGGATACCCGTAAGAGCCATTGGCAGACGTGAGGTAATGCTGGTACATGCAAGTGGCTGATGCAGACTGCTGACACTTTGTTTGTCAAACAGAGTTTCTCTCCTCGCGTCCTTGGGCACACCAGCCACACTGCCACGAATACACACCCCACCCACTAAGGCACTCGCTCCGCCAATCCGCATTTTTTTCCTCTGGCATTTGACTCAATGGCTCCGACTTCTCAGTTGTCCCCGGCTACGCGTAGCCACTGCTTACTCACACACGCAGACGGTAGTCAGAGACAGTCATATTGACACCGCCATCACTCCCTGTTTCGCACCACCACTTGCGTCTCCAGCAAGACACGGGCAGATGCGAGTGCAGGACGCCAGACAACTGGTATCCGCTCAGCAAGCCGAGCCCAGCCCAGCCCAGCACGGAGCCACAATTCAGAAGTCCCCTGCCCTTCTATTGGAAACGAGCAGCCGCGGACGCTGGGAATATAAAAGAAAAAACAAAAACCCAATTTAAAAGGCGGCAACCAGGGTCTTACCAAGGCCTGCCATACATCATAGGTTGATCATCCGCTCACGCAAGCTTCGAGCATGGACTTCCTGAGCATCCGGCGGCCTGCGGATGCATGGGAGGAGATGAAGAAAGTCTGCAAGTCCGCCCGCGACTGCTGCCATTGTTCCTTTGGGATTGGGCTCAAGTTATTCAAATGACCTTATGTACCGAGGAAGGTCTGGCAGGTAATAGTTGCTCCTCCGCCAACTTCCATGGTTGCCGATGCCGTCTCTTCCATCATCCTGTCTGCACTGCCTACCTTACCTCACTTGATCCGGTGCGCCGTCTCCTTTCTGGCGTCTGTAAATACTCTTCTTCCTCTTACAACTACACAAAAACTACCAGTGTCATCATCGCACTGGAATCAGTCTACCGTGCCGTCTTATCCATTCTTCTCCCGTTATACCCGAGGGCATATCCGTAGGCTACACGTCAATCTCGACATAGAACCTACCTACGTAGTAGACGTTCGCTATCCGTACTAATCGCCCACGCCACTCAGACGTCCAATTCCATCTCGTCCCGCCTCGTCCGCCATTGTAAGCTATGCCTATTGTCTATGTCACCCTGCCGTGCCTTTTACCTTATTCCCTATTTTCCTTCTTCCCCTCCCCCCCAAACGTCCCATCTCATCTCAACCCATAACATACCCCCCGTCGCCTCGTCTTTTCTTGCGAGAGCCAGACAGAAGAAGCAGAAGAAGTCCATCCGCCCTTCTTTACCCCCCCTTCATCCTTCTCCTCCGCCCCAAATCAAGCGCGCAAGTCATCCATCCTTGAAAGAGGGGACACACAGGGCGTACACCGCACACACCGCACACCACTCACCGTGGCCGCGTCGCAGAATCTCTTCCCCCTCCTGACAGCATCCTTGCACGCTGCTCGAGTCCGCCGTCGCAACCAATCCCACTATTTCGTTGCATACGCTGCGCGACAAAGCCAATTCCCACTGTTTCCATTCGGCATCCAGAACCTCGAGGTCGGGATACCGCCGCTACCATCGCAGCCGCTCTACCCTGCCGCCTCCCCATCTCTCACTCTCTCACCAGTCCCTTCACCGTACGTTTGCTCTATTCATCTGTTCCCTTCTCACTACTCTCTCGGAAGTCCACTCTCTCTTGTCTTGCTGTTCGCTCGCCTTGCTGGACTCTACCCGTCTCCAACACCTTCACCTACCCCCACCGGAACAGGGGCAGCTCCCGGGTCATCATCGACTCTAACCGCCTCGCCCTCGCTTGCCTCTCCCTTCTTCCCCCATCCTACACCCCTCATCGTTGTCGACATCTTCCCTGTCGTCAACATCTCAATCGTCGATATCGAGTCGCTGGCCCATCTCATCGTCCCCCCACCCCCACCAGACACCACAGCGACAGAATCCTCACTCCCCCCTCTGTATCCGTAGGCCTCAACTCTCAGCAGGTCAAGTGGCGTTGCGCGCGGGGCTCCCCATTATTACTTTACTGAGGCAGTCAGAAGGTAAAACGTGAGACAACCATTCAACACGGACGAAGCCTGACTAGTCCGGACCTGTGAGTGTGTCCCGCGGTATCTTTGCCGACTTGACCTGGCCGCCTCGGGACTGGATGAGGATTGGATTTCGATTGGAGACTCTCGATGCTCGTTCCCACCTTGCTCTCGTCTATCCCACACGTTCTCCCCTCCCTATGATCTTTCTTCCCTCCTCCCACCACGCCACAGCTGCTGCTTGTTCCTGTACAAACACACACACTCTCTCTCCATTCACTCACACTCACTCACACTCACTCACACTCACACGCACCTCATCCCGCACCCGCACCCGCATGCCGTACTGATCTTCCCGTTGTACCTAGCAACTAGACTTTCTTCTCCCGCCAAACAACACGCAGAGATCTTGCTTTTCCATCAGGAGGTCCGAGGGTGGAATGTGATTAAGCCTCCCCCCGGCTCTTGTCACTGACTGATCGCATGCACGCCTGACTCTGACGCTGCTCAACCGGTACGTCCTGCATTTTCCTTCTAGTACATTTCCCTCCCAATCTGAGGCTGCCCGTCCCGCCTACCGCCTAGCGCCATCCCCATCTTTGTTGTATGAAGTACCTCTCACCAAAGACCAAGGCGACGCATTTCTTATGCCACATGCCTGTCTCTCCATCTGCAGCAAGTGCTCGCACCGCGCCGTGTCCCATCAACGCTGCACATTGTCACGGTCAACCCTGCATCCCACCTCAAACCCCCATCATCCCTAACTCGCCTCGATGCCCGACACTCCTTGACCCGACCTACGCATCCACGCCTCCTCTTCCTATGGATACCCTCACTTGCTTTTTGCCAGCGCATAGAACCATCTCATGCACCTAATCTGCCCAGTACCCCAGACCACTCTCCTACTGTTCCTGACCATAGGATACTTCCTCTTACATACGCTATTCCTAAATTGCCTTCAACCTCACATTTTCTCTCCTATTTCTTATACTCTGCATACCGCTCCCGCTTTCTGGCTGAGTGATTCCGGCCTCTTTGTCACTCGGCCACACGCTACACGTTTTTACCAACCATTGGTGTCTAACAATGCCGGCCACCATGACAGATTCGGAGCGATCTCGGCGTACGGAAAACTGGATTCCCACATCCACCCGAGGCGGCGTCTACTACTGCCCCAGATATCTTCTCGATCCTCCTGCAACACAACAGAATCGCCTACCGACACCGCCCATCCGCGCTCGCCAAGTAAGACCGCGATCAATACACATCACCTCGTGGCCCTCGGGCTTTGTACCCCACGAACTCAGGCCGCAACCAGAGCGCCCTGTGAAGAGGAGGAAATCGTTAAAAGCAGTATCCCCGACCACCACAGCACTGGGGAAGACGTCATTGAAGTTCAGCATCAAACAGTTCTTCTCCCTCTCCCAAAAACAGGTGCCCAGTCGTTCCACGTCACGCGCATCCACCCTTTCAAGGCCTACACTTTCAAGGCCGCCCAGTAGAGCCGCGAGCATTCTTCATCGACTCTCTACATACCGTGAGGTAGATTTGGTGGTTCCGGACGAAGACTCAATGGCGCTGCGATCTGCCGCCATGGCCGAGGCCTTGCGGCCACCCCTGATGACCTCGACATACAACGCACCCGGCCAGCGAAACAGCATGATGTCGGTACGGAGCGCAAAGAGCAACGTAACATCAATGGTCACCGAGATTCCCAAACCCGTTGCCCACGGAAGCGGTGTCAGCTGCTCGATCCTTATGGCGGAGCCGAATATCTTTCTGACTGGATTCGACCACGACGGCCACAGACAACACTCACAAGGTGGAACGGCTCTTCTGCGCGGAAAGCTGCAGCTCAAGGTCACAAAAAACATCAAGATCAAGGGTGTGAGCTTGAAGTTGGTGGGAAAGGCCCGCACCGAATGGCCTGAGGGAATTCCTCCCTTGAAAGTCGAATTGTGCGAAGAGGAGTCGCTGCGCACACAGGTTCTGACCTTTTTCAACGCCGTGAACGACGGGTGGGAGACCGAGTATGGCAACCAGTGTGTCTACGCGTTGAAGAACAGCTCTACAAACTCCTCATCGACAAATCTCGCCTCTAGCTCACCTCGCAATTCGATGTCGCCCTCGCTGTTGTCAATACCGCCCAATAGACAAGGTCTAACGGCCAAGGAATTGAAACGTCTGTCTCTGCAGTCAAATCAGTCGAGGAGCTTCGGCAAAGGCGATAACCCGAGTGGCAATCAGGCCAAGGGTTACAAGGTGTTTTACCCAGGCACATACGAGTACACCTTTGAGTTGCCCATCGACCACCATCAGTTGGAGACGACCAAGCTTCAGTATGGCTCTGTCAAGTGGGAGCTGCAGGCGACCGTGGAGCGAGCTGGAGCCTTCAAGCCAAACCTTCACGGTTCCAAGGAAGTGGCTATTGTCCGTGTACCGGACCAGCTCTCGCTGGAAATGACGGAACCCATTTCGATTAGCAGGCAATGGGAGGACCAATTACACTACGATATCATCATTTCAGGCAAATCTTTCCCCTTGGGCACCAAGATCCCGATCGCTTTCAAGCTTACGCCGCTTGCCAAGGTCCAGGTTCACAAACTCAAGGTTTTCGTCACCGAGTCGATTGAGTACTGGACCAACGACCGCAGAGTTACGCGTAAAGACCCGGGTAGAAAGATTCTGCTGCTTGAGAAAACTGCTGGAAAGCCTTTGGACCCTGCCTACGCATCATCGGATGTCCGCGTGCTCAATGGAGGTGAGCTGACGCCCCGCCAACGTCGAGAGGCTCGCGAATCTGCAGCCATGCGACGCGCAGCTGATGCTTCTCGACATGGCGTGATGCCGGAGCCCCTCCCCGAACCCGTGGACAACATTTTGGGTGATTTGGATCTCGGGCTGGAGAGCTACTGGGGATCCACTGAGATTGAGATGAACGTTCAATTGCCGACTTGCGAGACTATGGCCAAGAGCAAGGAGATGCGCTTGCATCCCGACTGCAGCTGGAAGAATGTTAATGTGTACCACTGGATCAAGGTCAGAGTTTTTTCCGGACGTTGATGATTCGCACCAGCTAACCCAAATCCCCTTAGATCGTCATGAGGATTTCCCGTCTCGACCCTGAGGATCCCACTGGCACCAAACGCCGTCACTTTGAGATCAGCATCGACTCACCGTTTACGGTACTCAACTGCCGTGCCACCCAGGCCAATACCTCCCTTCCCGAGTACTCGGGCCCTGATGTGGGCTTGAACCAAAGCCGTCACACGTCTTGCGGCTGCCCCGATGCGGTCACCATTTCGGGACCTTCTGGGGGCTCGCCAAACAACCTTTCGACGGGCGCCCTCACAGTCATGGAGGCGCCTGGTAATCTGCCCGCGCCTCCCCAAGCAGCGCATCTCCCCTCGTCGCCGCAACCGACAACCGGCGGCACCGGCCGGACTTCACCGCCAAATTCCCAGACGTCGGTAGATCCACTCGCCGACGTACACCCCCGACCTATTCACCTCCTTCGCGTGCCTTCTTACAACCCTCCTGCGTTTGACGCCGAAACGCCCCCGCCGCCCGCCGAGAGCGAGCAACTTCCGCTGCAGACACCGCCGCCTCAGTACGATGTCATTGTCGGTACGCCGAGCGTCGACGGTATGGCGGACTACTTTGCGCGCCTGGCCGACTACGGATACGACGAACCCGAAGAAGACTCCGACTCAGACGAGGGCCCGGCCCGGATCACGGAGCGCGGAGGGCGGGTTAATGTTGCGCACCCTCGCACACCCGGCGGTAGACGCGCTCCAAGCCGCAGCCTCGAGATCCAGCGCCCTCCCGTCGAATTGAGGTTGGACGCTCTGCCCACGCTTCGAAGAAACGGAATCCCACCGCAAATCAATTGAACATAATGCTGTAATATCACAGACGAAAGAGCGTCAGAAATTTGGAGGACAGATGATGAGATGAGTAACTGGACGACCAAGGTGTGGAGAGGACACATTTGAACTTTTTGCATCATGATTATGGATCATTGAGACGACGTTTTGAAAACTCCTTACCAACGCATCCGTCATGGGATTGGTCGGCGCAGTCACTGGGTTGGTTTACAGGATTTTGTGTGTACGCTCGTAAGATGTGAGCAGTCTCGGGGGAACACAGTCTGGCGTTCTTGTTGTCTTTTTGGGGATATATACCTGGACTCTACGTCTACTGCTCTGTGTGAATATTGATTCCCTGAATACATGTATGTATCGGACTTGATGAGAAAAACAACTTGAATTACGCAAAAATCTCGGCACGAGTGACGATGACGTTACATAACACTGTCTTACAAAACCAAGTAACGATAGTGGGTTTGCAATGGTTCTCACAGCTGAACTGTCTTGCCTACTTGCATCAACCGCTCGGGATCCAATGCTGAAGCTCAATTCACATTTGAACACGAAATTGTCAGGCTGGTTCATAGAGTAGAGGACATTTGCAGGCCCCCTTCCATCCTCAGAAACGCTTGACGCTGTGTAATCTGCAAGACGTTCTTCTCGCCACATCAAGAACTCTACGATCCCGATGGAACCGGCCAGTCCCAACCCGTCGGTATCTCACTGACAGCTACGTTGGCATACAAGAAAAGGGGAAAAGGACAGGAGAGTGAGACACAGAGTAGGATAGAAGGGATGATGCTGGTCTGGCGCTGAGGCGAGAGTTTCTTCAAAGGGGGGGAGGGTTGCGAAGAAAGGGGGGTTAGGGGGGTGGAGAGATGAGATCGATTGGTGGTCTTTGCTTGTTGGTAGATGCGGTGGCTACCTCGGGCACGTGGTGGAAGACTCGGGTCGATTGGAGTTTGCTTCCCGATTGGATGAGGGCAGGTTTTTTTTTCAGTCCACGGGGATTGTCGTTCATTAATCTCGAGTTTGACATGTCATGTTTGGTTTTAATAAAGGCAAATTATCCGTACTCCTGGTTCCTTTGCGTGTTTGCTCGTCAATCCGCGGGGCCATGATGGAGGGGGGCAATGAGTGAGATGTCGTCATTGACGGGGGACATCTTTGGAAAGGAACCCTGGACGTCTACCAACCAGCCCCTCCCCCCAAGTTCCGCGGCGAAGGGAGAGAAATAAATCACGTAAATGGAACAATTGTTCAGGATCTTTTGCTGACGAGCGGCAGCCGTAACCGTAGCCGGAACCCTATTCCCTTCCTGTTTGTGTGTGTGTGTCTGTGTCCGTCGGTTGGTTCGTTTGAGGGCAAACCGTTTTCAGCTGATGGAAGTTGAGGGGAGGTGGCGTTTGTTTCAAGAACGCATAGTGCGACCTTTTTACTGAGAATGTGACCTTACTGGGACGCGGACTTGGGTCGAATTGGAGGATTGGTTTGCGAGGCTGTAGAATCTCTTTTTTTTTTTTTTTTCCCCCCCGGTTGGACTAGGGTTGCAAAAAGTATCTGGGGATTCCGGGTAAAAAAAACCTTAATCAATGATGTTCCGACACGCGGACGGAATGGCTTCAGAGTTTGGGGAGAGGGATAAGGGGATAGCTTGTTTGTCAATGGCATTGACGGACGGGGCGGAGGGGGGACGGAATTTGAGCCTTCGCTTTTTTTCTTTTGTTCTTTTTCCTCGATTGGGGTGAGGGGGAAAAAGAACTTGCTGCTTGTCCCTTCATGGCAGGAACTTTCAAGTGCTTTGCTTGACTTGGTCCGGGCTTTCTGGAAAGAGTTTGGGAGGATAAAGTGAGTTTTGGGTTCATTGGGAGCTGAAATGCCGGGGATGAGATTTGGAAGGGAACTGGGAGGAGGTCCTGGCTTGAGGTCTGGTAGAGGGACTCACGACGGCAGGTTCGGCGGCGGGGGTTATTCTGCGAATAACTTCAATCTCGATGGCGGAAGGACGGCCTCGAATAGGCTTTGATAGAAACATGGACTGAGTCCATTGCCAGGAGAGACTTCCGCGCTAGACATGTTGTGACACAGTATGGCCAGAACTAGACGCCGTGTGAGAAGAGCGAGAGAAAAGCTACCAGAGAACTCATCTGATATTCCGGACCAATCATCAGCATTCTACACAGGAGGTTGCTTATTCAGGCCTCGGTTAGCGACGGGAACCGAGCAGTTGGTTCATATGGAGGTAGTGATACAGACAAGGATTGGCGTTATAATTACCTCGGGGAGATTGTGCGGGTTGATCCTGCCATTTTGGCATCGAGACGACGTATCCGCGGGTGTGGATTTCTCGGGAAATTGCCTCACGTAGATTGACGCTGGCAGAGTGTGTGGTCAGGCCGCGTGTTTGTAGGCGTTTGAGGCCGACGTAAGTTTGAAAGACTAGATCCGAAGAGGCTTGGTTTGGATAGAGCATTGGAACTTGATGATGTTATCACGGGACTCTTGAGGGAGCTGGAACATGGGGTGAGTCGTATCAGTGCGTCGAGGATGATCCAAAGTGCATGAAGGGTGCGAGTTCCGGCTGGCCCGGGAGGTGTCCGACGACATCTCTTCATACACGAATAGGTTGTTCAAGTTGAGTGGATACTCGGCCGGCTGCTGTTGATATGCAAGATACGCTATTTCGGTGCTCACGATTGCTGGGACGATGTAAAACATGGCTGGATACTTCGCCTGTCGATAAAGTCATTACGCCTGGAACTATTGAGGTATATGAAGAAGAGTAATGTGATTTGAATGATCTTAGGTGTGACAAGCCTATAAAACGTGTCACTCTGGACAGTCAGCGGGTAACAGTTATGAGCGGCTGTCGGTTGAGATACCTGACAGCCCCAGCGAGGTGTACCCACGGCAAGCCATGGAAAACTATGGCCGTACTAGTGGGAAATAGAATTAGGCAAGGAGTTGATTCTTCAGGAGCACCTCAGTCGTTTTCCCTTTACATACTAAATTCAGTGCATACATTATGCTTGGTAGTGCAATGTTTGCGCCGCTCTTCCACTCAACTCGAACGTTGCCGCCGGGTGGACGGAGCTGATCGTCGCCTACAAGGCACAAGCCTAGGGCCCGTAGGTTAATTTACATACTAGGAGACCATCTGAAAAGATAAGGGAGACAACTTGATAATTGTCAACTCGGCATGTTTATGACTGAAAATTTGGGGGTGCAGTGAGTTTCCTCCACGGGCGCATGCGCGAGTGTTGGGACCCTGACAAGCTAGTGTTGACCAGGGATCCATAACAGCTAGATGTGACTAGGGCTAGTATTATACGGTCGCCGTTAAGAATGAAATGCAGTGGTAGTATTGACCATGAAGCTACCCATTATGACCAGTTACGACTGCAAATAATCCTTTGTGTAGCTGGTTGTTTCTGGGAACGAATCTTGTCAGGGCAGAGACCGCGTTTCTACTAAGAGATGAGCGGTCTAACAGAAACTACAGGAGGGCTTCACGCTGAACACGTAAGAATTCTGGCTCAAACATCCGTGGCATATGACGATCCTTCCATAGCTAGGTCGGACTTCTATTTGAACCTTACGGTTAAAGGAGGTCAATAAAGTCCTTTAAGAAGTCTCCTCTATGAAAATATTCGAATGATTCAGTCCATAACTAAGTTCTTAGTAGTAGTCAACGCTGTGATTTGGTTCAAATCGGTGGGAAGTCTGGTTTCGCTTGAGAACTTCAGTTTCCTAAAAGACACCTCTCGGCGAACTTACATGTACACAACGCTGCCTTTCAACCGTCCAAAAACCTGTGAAATGAATACAATTTCATCCTCATATCATTATGACAATCGACTTTCACAGGAGATGACTCACGTATCGTGCTGGGAAGGCTCGTCATACAAGCGGCCAAAAAACGTCTTTCCCATCGTCTTATGCCATGAAGCGTGTGTATTATAGTTTTTACCGACGTGTTTCTCAGATTAAACAATCCAAGAGATCAATATAGCTGTCATATGCATGTAGGTTCCTGGATGGGATAGCGAGTAGCTACCGACTGATGACTGTTGATGGCTTCCATACTGAGCGTAGTTCCAACTTCCACTCCAGGTCTTGCAATACATGCCGAACTCAGCTGATGTCAACAAAATTTCAGGTCTTCTTCTGCAGTGAGTCTTTCATATGTGACGTGGATCATTCAGCGGGGGCTTCGCAAGTAGCTGGTCGGGCAACATTTTCCGTCGCAAATAGTTGTGTAGCGGAACCAAGTTGACATGAATCCAATCAGCTCTAGGTCTTTATTTGTTTGAATGGGTTTTCCCATACTTTTCAATTTCCAGGGCTACATTGTATGTCTGCGTTTTGAATAGCGACTGAATAACATATGTGTATCAATACCAACAAAGTAGGCGCTTAAGGACCAGCAAGTGGTTCCATTTACGATCCGCATCCATTCAAGGCTCTAACTAGCTGAACCCCAACTACTACTATGCTCACAAACAACCTCATCATGACTGAATCTCTTTATTCACCGCCAATAATAGACTCCCTCTTCTCACTTGGTTTCTCTTGAAGTGATTTTCTCTAGTTTCGGAAGATATTGCTTTCATGATTTAATCTCGCCATGAGCCACGGCCTCACAACGCGCGGCAGTATCGCAGCCAAGTCAGACGATGGCATGCTTCTCTGGAAGATCATTCAGGACCTTTTGGACCCGGGAACGAACACTGGAGGCTATGTGAGCTTAGGGATGGCGGAAAACACTCTCATGCACGATAGACTATCGAAACATTTTCAGGAGCCTAGCAGTTTCCAACTACTCATTCACATACGGCGATGGCATGACCGGCTCAAAACGCCTGAATGTGTCACTGGCGCAGTTCCTTACAGAGAAACTACATCCAGCAACGGCCATAGACCCGTATCACGTTTCTGTCACCAATTTTTGTGGCTCAGCGATAGAGCACCTGTGCTGGGCGTTGGGCAACCCCGGCGAGGGGTTCCTGCTTGGCTAACCCAACTATGGGACGTTTCTTCCGGACGTTGAGTATCGAACGGGCTGCAAGATCGTGCAGGCTCCTTTCAACGACGATGAACCATTTGGTCTGGATGGGGTTCTCAAGTATCAACAGGCGTTGCTGTCTGCAAGGGAAAAGGGGACCAAGATTGCCGCCCTAATTCTGTGTCACCCTCACAATGCTCTCAGACGTGGTTTTCGCCGGAGATGATCGTCGAGTTGATGCGGTTATGCCAAAAGTACAATATGCACCTCATCAGTGACGAGATATACGCGCTATTCGTCTGGAATTCTACAATCGATACGCAGCCAGCACCGGTTCCCTTCGAGTCTAGTCTCTCCATCGCCACCACGGGCATCATGAACGCTCCTCGGCTCCACGTTCTCTGAGGCAAATGCGGCGTTCTTTCTATGGGTTGATCTTGGTAAGGCCTATCGTGAACAGTATCCAGGCATAGAAGTTCGAGACATCAGCACGGGGGTCATGCGCGCGTTGCTGGACAAGAACGTGTTCTTGGCATCTGGAAAGCAGTTTCGCTCCGAGCAGCCGAGATGGTTTAGGATCGTTTTTTTCAACAAGAAGGAGCTTTTGTTGGAAGGTCTCGAAGGGGTTGCTGCTGCGTTAGATGTGTAAAATTGATCTTGGGGCGCTTGATCCAACTCACTGAGTTTCCTTTGCACAACTGCATTGGAATTGTGATGGGGCTCCGATACTTGTGGTATTATCGTAGTGATGAGATCATTCATAGGCAATATTAGCTCATTCACAGAAAGAGGTTTGCGCGATATTACTCTCGCAGAAGTTCTCCTCCCATAATACCAAGCTTAAAAATCATAGCGTTGATCGTCGGAAGTCCCTGCACGAAAATGAGACCATGCTTCATGGGGCACCTACGGACGGTACCGACAACTGACGAGGTGCGGAGCGCGCGGGCACCGTCAAGTGTTGTGGTTTGGCATTGAACTGTCAGTGCAGGCAATGAGTAGGAACTACCTAAAGTAAGAGCCTCTTGACACTCGCGTTTTCAATGTTTGACAGAAGACTCCAAGTGCCAACGTCGGCGATGACTTTTTTACAAAGAGATGGATTAGTCTTTCCGGTTACCCTTTGCTTCAAGGCAGTTCAAGAATGCCACTTTGAGACATGGAACATTCACAGATTTATTTTCTCTTTTACGATGACCAATAATGTACTCAGCCGGATTTGTTGAGCACCAGGGAAATAGCAAAGCTACCGGGACACTCATGGCACGGCGTTCAAGGCCGACAATGTCTGGATAATTTTGCCAATTGCGGTAAAGCCTCATTCTCGTGGCCGGACTGCAGGGATTCATGATCGCCGTCCGCCCACATCTGTTTAATGCCTCCACACGCTAAGATCCCTGCAAACCCGCGCGGTTCCCACCGGCTTGCTCACACTGCCCAATTCTACGTCAAGATCCTGTGCTGATTAGATCTCAAATTTCTGGCTAGAATGTTCTCGATGTATAACCACTTCATAGCAGACCTTACCCCTAGCTACATCACCGACTCCAAGGCCATTGATGGAGGTGGGTGGCAGCTCTGCTCCAATTCGGGGACCTGTATCAGGTCATGGAGAAGAAAACTTCTGGTTTAAACAGAGAAGACCAATGGCTGTGGCGTGTTCGAATCTTTCTCACTTCGCTCTTACCGAAGAGAAAACACACCATTGCAATGGTACACTACGAAAGTATGGTCTTGTCTTAGGGGTCGATGTGACCCAAGGTTGTGAGGACCCCACGTCTGAACAATTGTGATAATAAGTGTGACCGATAGGAATAGGCATCGCGAATCCACGCTAAAGAGGCTAAGTAGCTACGTTCATCCGAAAACTGGGATCTAGCTCGGCCTGGGGTACAGTGACATCGGGAAGGGGTACTTTACCATAAGAAGGTAATTTGACCGGGATGCCAACGATCTGGATCGCGTTGTGTGCATTCTACCTTACCGAACTTGGAAGCCAACAACCAACATCAGTCTGCATGAGTCGTCTGTGGTGGAGCTTGAAATATCATGCCTGCTCGGCTCTCGGAACGCAATGCGTGATGAGAAATCAAATTTCCTGATGCCAGTTGAGCATTTCTACATGTGGTGAGCATATAAGTAGGGAGGCTTTTCCGCGATACAAGCCTACATGACCACCAGCTCAAAATAACCGTCACTCTTTTATATCCAAAGCCAACTGGAGTCCTAGTTCAAAATGGTTCTGCCCACATTCGTTCTTTCGGCTGCCCTAACTACTTCTGTGGCAGCTTACGATACCCTCCTCAACTTCCACGGTGCCCCCGAAATCGAAACTCGCACAATCGATGAGATACACAAGGCTGCTGTTGCCGAAGGTGGTGTAGTTACTCTTTGGCACGGAGGCGACGAGAAGAACCAACAGGATGCGCTGAAGGAAGCTTTCGAGAAGCGCTTCCCAGGGGTGACACTGAATCTCACCGTCGACGTCTCAAAGTACATTGACGGTGATATCGACCGCCAGCTGTCGCAAGGCAACGTGTACGTCGACAGTGTCATTCTCCAGACCCTTCACGATTATCCCAGATGGGACCAAGAAGGTGCTCTGTTGCGGTATAAGCCGTTGGACTTTGACAAGATTCACCCTGGATTCCGCGACGTCTGGGCCTCGTGGTACGCGGTTGTTGTCTTTGGTTGGACCAACATCTGGAATGCCGAAAAGGTCTCTGAAGGTCCTGTCGAGTACTCAGACTTCCTGAAGCCTGAGTATAAGGACAAGTTGGTCTTCACCTACCCGAACGACGATGATGCCGTTCTTTACGCATTCGACCTGGCGTAAGCAAATGCCTCTTTCAAGCCCCTAGATAAAGCAGGAATACTAACTGGTTGCAGTTTGCAGCAGAACGGTTACAGTTGGTTCGAGAACCTCCTTACCCAAAACCCCCGCTGGGTTCGCGGTACTGCCACCCCGAGCACCGTTTTGGGCCAGGCCAACAACTCATATGCCGTCACCTTCACCAGTGCTCTAGGCCTGGCCCCAGCTGCCCCCTTCAACATTTCCATTCCCAAAGATGGTTTCTTTGTCACCTGGGGTCAGCGCGCTGCAATTCTCAAGGACGCTCCCCACAAGGAGGGCGCAAAGCTTCTTCACAACTTCTTGCTCAGCGAAGAGTATCAGAGCCCCAACAACACCGGCATGTGGAGCGTCCGCAAGGACATCCCTGCCCCCGCCGGCTTCCCGGATCTCATGGATGTCAACTCTACCAATCCCGTTGACTTTGAGCGGTTCATGGCGGATCGTGAGCGGGTTGAGAGACTGAAGCTTTTCTTCGAGAGCAAGATTGGCTCGGCTCAAGGACTCAGCCCCTTGATTGACGATTTGTAACTTTGTGGCCTGGAAGCATCCATAGTATATAGCAAATCTTATCTGTTTAGATCAGATTGCATGAATAAAATGGTCTGCAGGCTGTTGAAATCTTTCTTTCGTTTCAAACCTACCCAGAGCGTCTGGTCATGAGCTCGTCTGCCTCCTTTGACCACCACATACGACCATACCCATTGGAAAATTCGGGATCCCGTCCGCTCTCCCATAGACAAGCTAATGAGGGCCGGATTAGTAGTTGGGTCGGTGACGACCAGCGAATACCTGGTGTTGTATGTTTTTTGTTGATTTTGTGGCGATGCCAGAAATCGTGGTGTTTTGGAGTTGTGGTGGGCCACGTGCTTTGATAATGGTCACGTAAAAACGCTGGAACCAACTCACTCATCTCATGCGAACTACCCTGAATTCTGCTCTCTGTGGTTTACATATTGTTTCAATACCCCAATATTCATGTTGCAAGTCATTATTAGCAGATATTTATTGGTGGACACAATCGTCGAGAATAAGAGCTAACCTCTAATTCAGACGGCCCCTTGTCTACTACTTCTTTCCTTCTCTCATGCAATGACGAAATATGACGGCAAGTGATTATAAACAGGCAAAAACACGGTCTTGGAAGCTATCCAAAGGCAATCACGCATTCTGATATCTAATTGGAGCTATAACAAGACCTTCATCTAAAAGAATACTACCAGAACCGTACTGCGGCCATGGGCTTGTGATGACACAAGAATCTACCCAATACATGGCATCGGATTCGACCACTGAACCTTGAAATCTTCAGCCTATTATCAGCTCGTACTGATCCAGTTTTAAGCCTTCTCGGTTACCGGTTGTCATCATCATTGGCAGAACTTTTACCAGTAGGATCGCCCTCGAAGTCAGAATCCATGAACCCAATAGTTTCATAAGTTTTTCTCAGACGTGTATACAACCTCAGTGATGGCATTGATGTAAACGAGTCACAATTCCTCGAGGTCCTACTTCTACAAGACACCTAGAGAGCAACCAAGTAAGTGATCGTGCCTTGTACTACCCAGGGCTCCGCCGACTCAACAGTCGGGTGATTTGAAGCCGAAGCACGGGGGGG